TTTTGTTGTAGCATTTACTTTCTTCTTTAAAAGTAAATAAGATTACGTTCATTAATTAATAAATTAACTAATCTCTATAAATCAATATAAATGAAATCAGTTTCAAGTTTATTATGTCAATCTAAATACAATAAACGATTCCTTTTTCTTTTCTTTGTTTATTTTCTTATCTTTTTATCTTTATTCCAAAAAATAAATTTATCACTTAAGAGTACATTTTATTGACAGAAATAATGAAACAGCAAATAATAATAACGACAACAACAAAAATGAGCAAAAAAAGAAAAAAAATGAATTAATTTATTCTGATTATAATCTAAAATGATTTTAATTACTTTATTGGTTATAAAATTAATAAAATAGAATTTTACATAAAAGTATGAACGGAATTTTATGTATATCGATCAATGTTTTTATTATTATTATTGTTTTTCGTATACCTTGTGTGAATGTATGCGTGTATCTGGCCTTATCTGTGTATAAACAAGTATATATATATATATATATATATATATATATATATATATATATATATATATATAAGTCTATTCCAATTTCTGTTTCTCTGTAAGTATAAATACACATAAAGTTTCGTGTGTATAGATAGTTTATTACAATGTATTTCGTCAAATCTTTCTACTCATGATTTAGTAAACAATTGAATTTGTAAAATGTATTCATCAGAAATTGATCTCAGTTGACGTATCATTTAAATCCAAAGAGCATCGGATATTTATTTCATGCTGGTATGTATTTCCTCTGTAACGAATACAAATTACCTCATTCTAAACAAAACCCTTCCAATTAAACCATAATAGTTCAAATCATGAGTCAATTGAAGCTAAACCACAATGTAAAACCTGGAAGCACTGGATGGCCGTTTCGTCCTGGTATGGGACTCCTTAGCAGTGCGCATCCACGATCCCGCCCCCTTCTGTGCATTCGAACCCACGACCCATCAGTCTCGCGCGCGAGCGTTCAACCATTAGACTAATGAGCCGGTATCCAACGGTGTTAATGTCTAACTTTAACCAATCCACGAAATTACTAAAATCGACACAAAACCCCTTCTGATAAACCATAATATTCAATTCACTAGTAAATTATTTAAAAATATTTTTTAAAGTTCTAGTGCATTCAGATATATAAGGAGTAAAGCACTTGTCACCATTGAGATTGGATATTCATTTCACTTTATCTTGCGAAATGATTCAAGTTAGAATTACACTGTTGGAAGCTGATTAAGTAGTTTTAATGGTTAAGAGCCTTATGAAAGACCTGAACGTCCTATGTTCTACCCTTAGTTCGCATCACGGGTTCGCGCTGCCATAATAAGACAAAAATATTTGTCTAGTTCTCCTTCTTTTTCAACTGGCACACAGCATGAGATCAGTCTTTAACGGGTACAGTCTATCAAAATAACTAATTTCTCCTAAACCTTTAACTAAATAATTAAGTTAGCAATTGTTTTAATACTAAATGTTTTATATATTTGTATGATAATTTACGGTGAGTTATGTCATATAATTTTTCCCACTGATAAATTTGACTAACGCAAAGATAATGCAATAACAGAATAATATGAATTCATTTTACCTCACGGTTCCTCATCAACTGCCTACAATTTGAACACAATACTATTAATCATCAAAACACATCTGATTATACATTCAGAACGAAAATACTTCAAGTTAATAAATGAATAGGTAATAATAAATTTGTGAAAAATCCTCATATAGGTTTTGCAATAAAGAAATGGCATCAAAATCAATTTTATTTTGAATTACTAAGATCAAGACTATAATTTATGGACGAGCCAATTAGATATAAGATAACAGGTCTTGGATTTTGGAGTGAAATTCATTCATACATTTGGCCAAATAACGTTTTAACATCTTATCTGTCAGTTCGCGATGAAATGTTGAATCTAATTCCTAACCCTAACCATCAGTTATAAATCATAGTATATAACATCCATTTAAACCTGGTAAGTGGACATTTTCAAGGTTATTTTAGCGTTGCTCAAAGGTCGTCCATAAATTATGGTCTCATCTTAGTAATTGTAATGCTACAACTCGTTGTAGTAGCCTTAAATAAATGAATATATTTTTGTTGCATTCTTATAGTAATTCGAAATAATTTCAAATAAAATACACTATATAAAGATCATATTTTAAATGTGAAGAGTTATATTAGTGAAATATGGAGTTTTGGTAAACTATTGACATATGAAAGAATCATAGTAAATTTATTTCCATATTAATGTATTTTAATTCTGGATACGTTAGAACTATGAAAAAGTTCGAATATCTCAGATTACAAAGTTGGGTAGCCTGGGTTCGAATCCTGCAGGTATCATCAATTCCATCCAGATTGGAAATACACATTACTGACGAGTGTCAACTCAGACTCAGGATTTTTTTGTCAACTACTTCCAGTGAATTGGCATCAGTATATCCAAGCCTATATATTGGTTTTTAAACAACCGATTCAACAGTTTTGTAACAATATTCTATAGAGCTTGATCTCCTTCTCTAAATCCTTTAAATAATCTAGATTGTGCATAAGAAAATTAAATACTCACTAGTTATTACCTGTCCTTCAGTAGTTCTTTTGGGAGATTTCAAGTAATTATGATGATTAGTTCATGTTGGTTTGCGTATAATTTCTTCCATACTTTAACCTGATACTCCATAATCAAATAGCTTTGAACCACTAATAATTTCTGTCTTTATTTTACTTTGATTGATCTTAACTCAAGAAGTAACCTACAACTCTATCAAGATTCAGCAAAAATAAATATGTTATATCGTTTAAAACTCAAACGATCTAAACTATATCTTTATGTTAGTAGTATTTATTCAAATTTCTAATGCATGATACCTTTATGTTGAAAATCTCCCTAACTCCTTATTGACTACGAGTGTATAAAATCACAATGAACACGATTTCCTACTGACAACCATGAAGTATTTGAAATGAAATCCAATTCATCGTGATATCAAATTAGTTAATTAATTGAACGGTTCATAAGGATGATAAATTATAGATTGCCGTCATTAAAAACATATTTACACATAGAGAAAATTTTCTAAAATGTTAATTTAAAAATGTGAAATAAATTTTCAGTTTTTGAAATTTAACAATTAAAAGAAAAACAATTATGGCTTCTAAATGCATGATAGTACTTAACTATTATGACTATTGCCCATATAACACTAATGAATGTATTACATTAAAAATGTTGGCTGGTACAAATAAGTGTGAATGACTCTAATTTTAATGCACTAACATCAGTGTTTAAAGTTCATTAAAGATAATAGTGACAGTGATCATGGTTGTTTAGGAGAAAAATGTGAATAGAACAATATATTTGTTCAACTGATACGAATATGTTAAGAAAATCAAGTATGGTTTTACGATTGTTTTAATGAAGATATCGTATTTTTAACAAATAACTGTCATTAATTGGCAAAAGCAGATGCTTCTGTCATTAAACAGGTGATTAAACAAACCTCATCTTAGAATTTGAATCTATCATATCGTACACTTAATTTGGTTAGTAATAAGATTATTTTTGACCAGTTATTACTAAATTCGTATATATCTGTTGTATTATTAAATAAATAAAGAGAAGAGCTTGGAGTTCTGTACAGGCTCTTAATACACTTTTACGTAACCTGGAAGCATTGGACAGTCGTTTCGTTCTAGTATGGGACTCCTCAACGGTGCCCATCCACGATCCTGCTCGCGGGGTTCCAACCCAGGGCCTTTGGTCCTGTTGAAGCTAAGTGTTAATTATAAATGAGGACTGTTGTAAGTGGACAAAACACCGGTTGACTCGACACAAGGAAGAAGTAAAAACTACGGATGAAGAATTTATTATGTAATAACAATAAACCTGTAACTGATCCAAATGCTTGTCAAAACTTTATAAAAATATGCTGACATAAATGAATCAGTAATTTAATGGATGTATACAATTTACAGCATTAATAGATTAAACGTCATCAACTAACAAATATAACTCAATCACGAAGGTATATACTAAGTCCATTCTAACAGACATAGTCGAATATTACACCTCTTCTCTTAGTATGTGTGCATTGTATTGCATAGAGATATAATGAGAATTTTACAAGTGAACCATTCAACTCAGAAAGACCAACACCAACTGTGGACATTTGAAACTTTACATTTCAGCGTAATGGCTCTCAGACCTGTCACTCTATTCTCAATCATTATTGAATAATGTATTGTGAATCATTTACTGACAACATAAAATTGTGTAATAACCTTAGTATCCCGGTGAATAAAACCAAATATTTTCCATCAGTTTGAAACCTAACCTCTGACTAAACCTTCTGTAATAAATAAATTGGATAGATGGTACCAGAAAAACAATAATAATCCATTCATTTCGCGCATTGTTAGTACTCACCTGAAAACTATTCTTTCTTGAACTAAATAAACTAACTTAAACTTGAATTGTTGTTGTTTTACTAACCATCCTTCTGTAGTAAAAAGGTAATAAATATGTGGGTTAACTGTATTATTGATCTTTTTAGCTCAGTGTAAGTTCAAAATGATCATGTCTGGATATGCAAAAAAGTTTAAATATAAATTCCAGACCAAATTCCTTTAATAAAAGTGAAAGACCTTACTTGCTTGCCAAAAAATTTATTATCCATTATGAACCAACCTTAATAAAACTGTGTTAGTAACTACAATAAAACAAGTACTCACAAATTAAGGTTATAATATGTTATGTGAAGGCAAACGTATGTTCTTGTATACTTAAATATAAGTGCTCAAAAAGGTATTGATTAACCTGACAACAGAAAGTTTGTAAAGTAAGTATCAAGCCAATCTCATTCTGACTTGATAATTTAGGTTACAATAAAGTAATATTATTTTCATGATTAATTATTTTTTTGAAATACGTCGTGTACATTCAACTGTTTCTCCTTTGCTTGATTTCTTTTATCTGTTATTTCAAGGCTTGTCTATCACCGCACGAATCCCGGTGGGCACAATTACTCGCCAGCTTAGATCGTCGTGCACAAGCTATACGTGAAGCTTGTGGTGATACAGACAGTGTTAGTCGTTTAGTTGAAAAGATTGTCGACCAATTAGTATCACGTTGGAGTCAACTACGTGATCCGCAAATCAATTGTGAAGATTGGCCAGAGAAAGATATAACAGATATTGAGAAATATGTTGAATCTACAACTAAAAAAGGTCTATTGAATAACGTTCCAAATAGCTCTTTAAGAAATCAACAGGTAATATCTACTGTTTATTAACGCTAAATAATATTGATTTTGTATAGTTTAGTTTTATCACTAATTATAAGCATTTTTATACATTATTTTTTATCTGCTTTCTTTCAGAATTCACAGTCAGAAGCTAAACGATCAATAGAAAGTGGTCATCTCACGATTCACAAAGCAACAAAAATTTCGCGTTTTGACATGCAACCTCCACCGTCGCCAACTGGTGAGTTATGAACTGAATTATACTCACTGTTTTATTGATTCTTCCATATTTCTATGTTTACTCGAAATGAGGGTTCATGTGGTTGATTTTATCGATCACGAGGGTAGAAATGGATAGGGTATTGTGACACTGCATTATTTACAAAAACTAATATCCCTCTTTCTGAGGTTGAAAAAATAACAAAACAACATGTGAACTCCAAATTTAAATAAAACTGTACTGTAGACGATAGGAAACCCTGGACCTAAGTTTCATGATAGCTAGCAGTCGTCAGGAAGGCGTGCATGTAATCTTGAAGAGATTGGTACTTCCTGTGTGTTTCAAACACGTGTCACTCAATCTCATAGTATGAGACATTAGTTAGTCGGGCCGCGACTGACATCCAGTAAGACAGACAATTATAGTAAGTCGTTTCAGTTAACTAACATGAAAACGTAGTCTGAGTGATTTGATTCCTTTAGACTGGTGGAGACACTAGCTTCATAGATAGAATTCAATTATCGTTAAGGTGTTGATTAAAATAACTTTAGTTACCAACCAGTTATCATTCAATGTAACAATCCTTTCATTGAAAACAACCATAAATGTTAACTTTCTTTTGAACCATTTCTTACCGAAATGTACTCAAGATAATCCTCACTATAGCTTAGCATTAAATGGAGAACTATATATAACTCATGGGTATATGGTAATACACTGCGGAAAAAGGTATCATCTTGGCGGAAATGTATGATCGAGTTTTCGATACGCAATACATAAAAACACCAAGAAAAGATGGAGAATAAAGTCAATTAACACTGTAAAATTAAAAATATTTAAGAACCTCCGTAACCCGCTACGCTGAAAATTTGATATGTGCTAACTGGTCGATAATTTTAAGAGATGATTAACGAGTTTCTTACCAAGAGTTATGACCATTGAAGTTCAACCACGTTAGGTGAGAGACAAATACTATTAGTGTCCATGGAAGGTAGTCAAGCAACATAAAAAATTGGCTGAGAGTAGGAACCTAAACCACCGGATATCGATCTTGTGATCTGTAGATTATCCATCCACTGCAAGACCTGATGGTCCTGAGATTGGTCCCTGGTTGAGTTGTGGACTCATGCTGCTGAAAAATTTTTTAATATGATAAAAAAGCGATTCAGCTCCTTACGGTTTGCAAGTGTTGTTCGACGTAATCTGTAGTGAAAAATTACAAAAGAAGCAAAATTTGTTGATTGCTCTCTTAAATATTTCAGCTGAAATCAGTTCGTCATGAAAACGAATCTTCACATGCTACCATTCTGGATAAAAAATTTATACTATTATGATTACATTTATAATAACAGTTAAAAGTCCTGTTATATAGCGGAGATGTATTCTTAATAACCTACACTATTTAACCAATATGATTTAAAACAGTGCTCATCCAATGACTGATTATTGATAAATAACATTGCGAAAATTGTAAAAAAATTCCAGCTTAATTCTTTGAATATTTTCTTTGTACACTACGCAAATAAAGCTGGTAACATTATAAATTCATGCTGAGTTAATTAGGCTAACGTTTTCCCCAACTATTTGTTGTGAATACATCTAGTGTATCACAGCTTTATAGGCCGGATAAAAAACACTTTAATTTGATAAAAGACATAAACTGAAATTTAATCGGTAAGACTATAATTTATGGACGACCTTTGAGCAACGCTAAAATGACCTTGGAATGTTCACCTACTTACCAGGTTTAAATGAGGGTTATGTATTAGTGTGAGGAATTAGGATTATGATTTACAATTGATGGTTAAGGTTAGGAATTAAATTTAATATATTCATCACGAACTGACATCTGCTATAATGCCGAAATGGTATTCAGACAAATGAGTGAATGAATTTCGCACTAAAATCCAAGACCTGCTCTCCTAAATGTGACTGGTTCGTCAATAAATTATAGTTTTGCCATATAATCGTCAGTGAAAACCACACCCCAATAAGTAACATTCTTCTTGTTACTGAGTGAACAAAACGATTGGAAGTGTTTGGTACGCCATACCTAATGAACATCTGTACACTGGTGATAAATGTTTTGATGAATTTCACATGCAATTTAAATGAAGCAATTATTTGTGTTTCATTGGTTGACAAGTTTTTTAAAATATTTTTATTTAACTGAATGATTGACATCTTCACATTGATCTACTGTATTGAAATAAAAGGAATTTTATTGAAGTATAGTTATATTATCTAACTTTTAAAGCAATAACTGTCTGATGTCACATAAATGGCAATGAGTATTACTAGTTAGAAGAAAGCAATTCTACTTCTTATTATCGAACATCAAAGTTTGATTCCAATGACTATAAATAACGATTCAATATTTTCTGATCAATAGTCTCTGATGCTGGTGCTTAGTGGTCTAGAGGTTAAGCGTCCGCTCACGAGACCGAAGGTCCGGGGTTCGAATACTGCGCGTGAGATCATAGACGCTCACTGTTGAGGGGTCCCATACTAGGACGAAACGGTCGGCCAGTGCTTCTATGTTTTTAGTAGTGGTCTGACATTGGTCAATTCATGATCTCAGTCAAAAACTCAAAATTCTTTACAACTTCATACTGATAAACTCTGATTAAGTAAAATGCTTAAAGTTCTATAAAAAATCAGCAAATTGACCGAATAAATAATTTTGATATTTGAAAAGATCTAGTAATAATATCTGGTCATTATTTTAAAATCCTTATTACTGGATGTAGATTAGTTTCCATAATTTTAATATTCAAGGTGTTAGAAATAAATGTTTTTTTAAATTTATTTTATTGGAATATGTCTTTTCATCATTTTTTAAAAGCGATGACATTTTAAAACTTTCGAAAATATATGTATTCAAACACCCTAAACTAAATCAAAAGAAACTAGTTAAGGGTTTATATTTTCTCGTTGTTAATAATCAGGACCGCAATTAATCAGTCTCTATTGTTAACTAGTTATCTGAAATATCAGTAGCTCAAGGAGTAACATATTGTGTGGTTAAAGTGAGAGCTGTAGAGTTTAAGTTTCAATTTGTTTCAAGACTAAGATTCAGGCACATACAGCTGACGAATTAAAAATAAAATGAAACCTGCGTCCTGGATTTTACCATTAGTCACATATCAAATGCACTGAATCAGTGAGTTTCAAGATAGTTTTCATCACAAAAGTTTATGTCAGTTGGAGGACTGTCTATAGAGACAGAAAAGGATTTAAACAGCTTCTCTGTCATCATAATTTGTGGTCATTTATCATGATATTACACAAATCTGAGCTAAGAGTCTGTAAGTTGCGTAGTAAGTATGGTACCATTTAACAATTGAAGCGTACGTATAATCAATTTGTTTAAAATAGGGAATATCATTGCAGTTTATCAGTAAGAATGTGCTTTGCTCTTGAACCGAGTGACTGTACAGGTTATCAATTTAAAATGAAATTTCAGGTAATTTAGTAAAAAGTACGTTGTTTTGGAAGTTTTATTATTGTGGTCATAATTTCTAAACAATAAATCAATTAGCTATGGAACTGTTAACTCACTAGTAGAAATCTCCAAGTTATGTAGTACTGTTTAAGTGTTTAGCGTTTTTCATTACACTTAGTGCTAAGATGTTAAAAAAATTTCAAATCAAGTTTTTATTCAAAAATAACAGGTTATCGTGCAGAATTTGAGTCTAAAGCTGAAGAAATATTAAACTGGTTGGATAATAGTGCAGAGATTTTAGAATTAATCACAATGGATAAACGTCGTGCACTTGAAGCCGGTGGACAAACTCAAGTTTTAGGTCGACATATTATATCCCCTCATTCTGAGAAAAATGATGGTGTCGATGTTGATGATGGTGACGATGATGCGATCAGAGTGATTAATCGTGTAACCAAGGAACTTGAAGACTGGCGGCATATAAAACAACGTGTCCTACTCCTAGGAGAGCAATATCGCGATGAATTATCACAAGGTAATAATAACGATGATTGTAATGGTTATTTATATATTTTTAATATGACCATATGATTGTTCTACAAGACGCAAAGATTTGAAGTACTTTGGGGATTTGCTGAACATTGGTTTGAATTAATTATTCAGTTATTTGAACTTTTAAAGACAAATCGACGTACTCCAAAGCAAATAATATCATCACATTATTATAGTATTTATTTTAATTAAAAGAGTTAAATGTTAACACTGTTTAATGTGGTTTTGTTTTTATGCGCAAATCTTATTCGTTTTTCATCTAGTTGGTGTGATTAAGAGCATTGGATTTTTTAATTCTGTCAAGTCTATAGTTTTATTCGAGTATTATTATGTGTTTATGTAGTTCAGCAAAATTTACTCTACTTTCAATACTAGGATATATAAATAGATAGTTTCATGATTATTTCTCTCACAAACTACACTTTTAGTAAAATTGGATGGTGGTTAATAGTACAATGCATATCGTACGTTTTGTCCTATTTATGGCTTGTCATCTGAATGTGCTGGTATTCTAGTGTTGATATTCACACAGGGACTCAAGCTCAGCACCTTTCTCTGAGATCAGTATCTCACTGGCTGACACGTTGAGCATGTGAAGCAAATGATACTGAATTCGAATCACTCTGTGAACACCAACACTGAAATGAAGTCATGTCTATTTTATGTGTCGCGAATATCCTGATTTCCATTGCTAGCCACCATTCAACTTTACTTAATTTTGTGATTATAAAGCAATGTTGATGCAGTCCTCCCACACATGACAAAAGAGAATAATGAACTGCAGTCATTAAGACCGAAATCAGGAAGATAATAACCTCTACAAATGAAAGTATACTTTGTCCGTAATAGAAGATTGAAGTAAGGTAGTTAAGTTTGTCGATTACATAGTATGTGTAACGTAATTGATATATTTTGTCTAGATATACATTATGTTTATTGACTGAGTATACCGATTTATTATTTACTTTCTTAAAATAATAGCCGGTGAAAATATTGAAGAACTCGATCAACTATTTGATGAAATCGAAGAAAGGTGGACATATCTTGATAAATTACTCATCGAAGCAAATCGTCAAATGAGAATTTCCAATCAAAGTGTTGAATTTCAACAGGAAGCAGCCAAAATACACGCATTACTAACTCGGTCAAAAGAAGATGAATTATTAAAACTGAAAAATGAAGATGATATAAAAGAAATTCCAGAATCCAAATTATTTACTAACGAAATGAAGTCTCAATCCGGTAATGAATCAGAGATTAATATTGCAAGTATGTAAATGGCTGAATCATTATTTTTACCATAGATATGCATGTCTTATTTTTTGTGTGTGTATCCATGTATATATTTCTCGAAACTTCTACGTTCTATAATTGTAACACCAATCATTACTATTTGTTCGGATTTCTCTATTCACATTGTTATGCATTTAAGTATGAATAAACAGTGGACAAGTCTTAGTGAAAAGCTTCATTTACTAGTAATATGTCTTCTATACTAATGATTAATAAGACATCCAAAATTCATACTTCCGAACTTTTTAATTAGAAAAGCTGTAAGTTAAATGACAGCTCAGTCCTGTGATAAAACTATAAGACCACGACAAATATCAACATAATATAATTCATAAATCTTTGCATATAAGTAATGAGGATATTTTTTCTTAAAAATAACCAATTCCATTTTATAAATATCGAAAAGGTAATACTAAAGCAAAGTTGATCTGAAAAATGTGATTTATTTGAACAATACTTTTTCAATAATCTGATTGCGATCTGATCAACCTTTAGAATCTATCACCGGAAAAATTGGTGTCAATACCTTTAATTGATACATTCAAGAGAACATCAGATATGTACAGAAGCTTGCTAGAGAAGGATTAAAAAGAATTTCGGTTTTCCATCCTTAAGATATAAATCTGAATATAATTATCAGCATAATCGTATATAAAACTTAAGGTCAATTAGATAAGAGATCAAATAAATCCAAATAGATAACTGAAAATATTAGACAGAAGTGATAAAATATAGAAGAATTACTTTTCACACACACATTTTTTGTACATACGGAAGTGGCTTACATTTCTTGATGATTATGGTTTCCATAAGGCTAAGAATACACTCTTGACAATTTTTACCAAACAATGTAAAAATTTGATCCTATAGCCTATCATAGTAATATATTTTATTTGAGATCATGGACCGATCACTAGATCAGTAAAAACTAGGAAGCACCAAATGGGTGTTTTGTCCTAGTATGGGACTCCTCAGCAGTGAGCACCCACGGCCCCGCCCCTAGGACTAGAACTCAGGACCTTCGATCTTGCACGCGAACACAACCTCTAGACCAGTGAGCCAGTATCCAACTGTAATAATGTTTAACTTTACTCAATCCAGTATATTATGCGACCACCTTCTAGGTTATTCAATGACAGTCTAACATTGATCAGTTCATGATCTCAATTAAAACTCAACAATCTTCATAACCTTAAACTGATAATATACTTTATTATGTTACTTAACTAATTATTTAATTTCACAAACTATTGAATATAAAATACGATTTTTAAACTAAACTAATAAACATTCATAATGTGAACGAAAAATTGTCTCCGAAATAAATGATCAGTACGTACCACTAAATAATTTCAACGGTTTCAATCAATTTGAAAAATATTACTTTCTATACTGTGTTTACATTATTTGATTTGTTGAACATTGATTATTTAAATAATTTACAAATAAAAAAACTATAATTCAATTAATTTTTTTATTCAATACTATCACTGCAGTTTTATCAACGATTTTAGGAACGCACTGAACTGATTAAAACTGACAGAATAGAATTCATTGACTGTATTAAATAAAAATAGGTTTAGATAAAAGGATAAAATGTTGATGCATTTGTTAGCGTCTAAAAAGCGTTTACTTCCATGTACATAAATTTGTAGTCGTTTAGTCAGTTAATGGTCAGTTTAATTACACTTGCATTACGGAAGACAATATATCTAAAATATCAGAGTAGTGCAAAATATATTTCAGGCTATCCCCATACTTCGTATATTAGTCAACTTGAAATATGTCATCACTATAACTCTCAACGATGTACGGTTTATAGAAGGTGAACCGAAGTCATGTAAATAGTTTGTATTTAACATATTTTACACCAAACACACAGTGTGACAAATGAAAAAAGGTGGTTTGACAGTATCTATGGTCATGAGAGTAAGTCACCATATGATTTAAGCAAGAAGAGAAATAAGTGCATAGGCTGTCACATGCAATCACTTGTTCATACTTATTTGTATAAGCATGATGGTACACATTCATAAAGGTATAAGCGAAGCATCATGGACTAAAATAACACTATCTATCTTCCAAATAGGTTAATAGAAGGGTTCAGCAGACTTGAACATCCACAACCTCGTGTATGGATGAGGGCATTATAAGAGCACTAACTGTTATATTGCTAAGAATGGATAAGGAAGTCCACGAACTTAATAACCGTTAGTCTAAACCATGTTGGCAGATTTCGTTTATCAGGTTTGAGTTCATTCTGTTGTAGTGATCAATGGTTAGAAACCTTGGATGAAATTTTCCAGAAACCGTTACATCGTCGAAGATTTACTAAATTTACGCCTTTCCTTCGGTCCTAAGTTTTAAAATTACCTTTTAAGTTTTATATGGCAAATTAATTCCTCTACGGATTATGTTCTCTATCCTCAATTATGTTTACAATCATTATTATGACTTTCTTTTACATCTTAATAATTTGATCCTCCTTTTTTAATATGGTATGGGAGCTGAGACCGATGCACAACTAGCTAAGTTCTACACTTCTTATGACTATCTACGACTGCAGGAAAGTTAACCGTGATACCAAACTTTCTTGAAGCATGTGTCACTTACTATCAAAATAGGAAATTATGATTTAAAAACATAGCTCAATGGAATCTGCGATTTCATTGTCATCAGTTGAGATGACTACAGAGAATATTTTGTAAATAAAAAAAGAAACATTTTATTTGTTATTGAAATAAAGAGTTAGCATTATGACTGTTGTCACTACTTTTGGCTACACTACTAGATGAAATGAAGATAATAATTTGATTCTTCAATCTATTCTTCAAGCATATTATATCAATGATTCATCGGTTTATTTTCCCATTTCATGTGGTCGAGCCCTGGTGAAGTTATGGGCTTGTACTACTTAGGTGTCTGTAACGTCTCTAAAGTGTACTAATTCATATTAACTCATTCATGGAAGTCGCAAGTGTGAACTGATGAATTCCGACCTATTGATCTTATGATCATAAAGTGATGATTCTATGTTCTATCCCATGTAAGGCTGTTAGCGCACAAACTACTAAGATGCACTTCACTACGACGAAACAATTTTCCAGTACTGTTTAGTTGTCTATCTTTGTTTATGTGACGGTTAATTCATGGTAAAATATCACCAATTTCGAATCACTTGATCACATTAATTATTATTATTATGTGTTCATCTCACTAACTTTTGATCACTTAAACAAAGATAAAATAAGTACATTGACGTTTTACAAGTAATCGATAAACTAAGTATAATAATAGTGTTAACGGAACTATTCACAAATGTTCTTCCTCTGCTTTAAATAATGTTTGACATGACCTAAATAAGTACTGAATACCCAGCCTATAGAATACAGTAGATTTAACAACTCAGTTATCCTGATTGAATTTTTTCGTAAAGTAATTATATGATCATTGTAGAAGAAAACATTTAAGTTATATTAGTTATATAGAATCGACGTTTGCATGCAGATATACGTGGACACCTATATGTATGCCCACGTAAAATCAGTCAGTTATTCATCATTCAAACAATAGGAATCAGTTTAATGAAATGGGTCAAATTAAGTGTTTTCAATATGAGAGTACCAGGAGGAACATTAGCAACTCATATTGTAGTCTTTCGGTTTTTTTGTTCGTTCCAATTATAAAAATATGCATGATATCTAAAAAAACTCTATGATGTCAAGTATACGATGTAAAGCCAAAAATTTTGGATTGTAAGTTTAGATTATTATAAAACATCTAATGATTGTGATAACATAAATTAGATTTTAATCATTATAGTTTGGAAAGTTTATAATAGATGCGTATCTATATTTATGTATTCAATAAAGGTTATTTGAATATTAATCTGTTCAATAATGAACATCTAGATGGAATTTAAACTTAAAAAAAGATTTTGGGATGTAACAATTGATTATTTACAATTCATTTGTAGAATTTTCAAATAATCTTATCAAGTAGTCACTGCTTACTTGTGCTATGTATCCATCTTCACTGTGAATTGGAGATAAATCTCATTGGTTTAATATTAATCTTTAAGGTTTAGTAATTAATGTGCCTACTCAGCTCCACAGAACCAATTCAATTGACAAACTTTTGTTCATATAACCGATTTACATTAGTCTGCCTTAAATTTCATAACAAATATAATCAAAGCAATAGAATGTAAATTTAAAAATATGTAAAGAAGAAAATTCAGTTTAGAGGTTTCAACTGTCTTTCAAACATTGATTAAGAGGCATAGAAATTTAGCTCCAATAATCATATTGAATGTATAATTTATTTGCACACTTCTGACTCATTAATTATTTGGATAGTGTACTAAGAAAATGAAGATTATCAGAATTATATGATATATTAGCTCTATACATTCTAAACAACAATAGTACTTGAGTAGGCTTAAAGTTGCTCTTACCTTCCATTTGTTTCGCTGACCTTTTGTTTTGTTGTTTTATCTATAAATGTTTTTAACTAGTGTTTGTGCTAATATATTTCACAGTGTTCTCTTATTACATCATCAAAATTTATCACAGTGACTGGATTGCAGTGATTATCGTTCTAAAATGACAAATATATTGTATTGTAAATGTTTTATCTACATTTATAAATTGTTATACATTTGAAGGGGTTTTGTGGAGATTTTATTAATTTCAGTAGTTGAAATCATGAGTCAATTGAAGCTAGACCACCGTGTAAAACCTGGACAGCCGTTCCGTCCTAGTATGGGACTCCTCAGAAGTGCGCATCCACGATCCCACCCCCCGTGAAATTCGAACCCAGGTCTGGCTTCAATTGACTCATGATTTCAACTATTGTTATATATTTATTTGATAGTATGAAATGTTAACCAAAATTACAAATGATTTGTAACCACTTGTCGTTGATTGATTGGACGTTTGTGATAAAACAATTCTATGGCTGTTCGAACATGTAAATATACAATAACATTAGTGATAAGCTTATCTTTAGAGTTATTTAAAAGTTCTAACATTTTCGTAATATACTAACAGTGTTGATCAGTTTTCTTATACAACTCAATGATATCAATATTATTTATTTAAATGTACCTATTTACACTCAGTTATGTACTGACTTGTTTAAATAAGAAAATCTTAATTTTATGAAGAAATATCTCTCCATTTTTTTCTTAGATATTAATGAAAGATTTGAAGATATTAAATCACTAATTGTTCAAGTGAAAGATGTCATTTCTCAACCAATTACCATTGGTCATCCTGAAGATGCTGATGAACAACTTGCCACTTTAAATGTATGTTTATAGCAAAGTTCATCCTTTCTCCTATCGTTATATATCACTTTTTTCGTTAAGCTATTACTATTAATCAGAATTACTATTAGATTATAGCGATCGATTTACGAGGATTGAATTTATTATGGACTGACTCTGTTTAAATAACCACTGGAAATCGGGGCGCTTTGGACAGTGTTTTTGTTCTAAATTTTGTGACTTTTCAACAGACCTAACAGACTATCCTGTCATGGATTAAACCCAAATGAGTTTATCCACTAGGTGTATTTGATCAACCGTTAAATGTAATTTCAAGTTAAATCAGACTACTTACTTGTTATCCCCTTAATATAATAATGATCATATGTTCAATAGTGACTAATTAAAAAAGGTAATCCACAGAGTTATATTAAGAAGCTTCGATCAGTGAAGTTCAAGCATGTAGTACTTGAGGCAACTGATCACCAACGGCATTAAAATATATTTACACAGTATCAAGAATTGATCGAAATTAGATATCGATGAAAATAAAGGTCATAAAGAAGCCAATTATTATTCACTTCATACAGTTGTATTATTCATCTATTGACTGAACTAAAAGAAAACAGTAAAATTGATTATAGACTCTCTTGTTGGAAGTTTGTTCCATAAAACTAGTTTAGGAAATGTAAACGTAATTAAAATTATAATCATGACTTGATGATAACTGTAAGAAAAAGCTCAGTGAATGTTTACTAAGCTTTTTACAGACCTTACTTGAAAGAAATTGAGTATTTATTTGTCATGTTGAGTATTTGAATTTCAAACATAAAAAATTTAAGTCAGTTCATATTGGCATAAGAAGATATAAATAATTGTTCTAAAAAGTCCCTCACCTTGAACAACCTTAACCAGTTAGCACGGTTAGAATACTTTCAGTAAGTTAAAACTAAGTAAATATGTTTTTTTTCTCAGTTGAGCAATGCAATTATCAATAGTTTTAATATTTTTCATGAAACCTCTGGAAATTCGTAGAAAAGTTAATATTTCACGGGAATTTTTAATGCCAAATTAGTGTTCACTACTCATAACTATTTATGAGTTGATAGATTGAGATTAATGTATAAATGGTGAATTCGGCTAGCGCAATAACCCACTCATAATAACCATTTACTATGTGACCTTTATGTATCATGTGATCTTTCCAGTCCGAAACAAATCAAGGATTATTGTATGACATACCTATATATAATGAATATGATAAAACACTTAAAAATGCTCCCCAATTAACCCATTTTTTATCTCGAGTTAATGAATAAAACTGTAAAACAATTATTATTCTGTAATGATTAGAATTAGTTGATTGTGACCCATCATCTTGGTAGTTACAGAGGGCGAGACTATAATTTAAGGATGAACTAATCACATTTAAGAGAGCAGGTCTTGGATTTTAGTGCGAAATTCATTCACTCATTTGTCTGAATACCATTTTGGCATTATAGCAGATGTCAGTTCGTGATGAAAACAATAAATCTAATTCCTAACCTTAACCATCAATTGTAAATCATAATCTTTACTCTTCACACTAATATAAAACCTTAATTTAAACCTAGTGAATATGCTCAATGTTATTTTAGTGCTGCTCAACGGTCGTTCACAAATATTATTTGATTGTTGATATTTTATTCATTTACAGAAAATGGTTAAGGATTTTGAAGCTACAAGCGAATTTCTTGCTAATTGGGAGATGAATTCAGCAAATCATCTGGAATTATCCTCATCCTCACCATCTTCATCTGTCAAATGGAATGAAACATTAAAAGATTTACGTGAACAATATAAAACTGTTTGTGCAAACTTAAATACGCGGATTGATTTTCTACAAGATTTATCAGAACAACATGAATTATTTTTGGTAAGTGAAGGAGACAATCTTCTTTTTTAATTTCAAATAGTAAATACTAATTCTTTTACATGTAAAAGAGATAAATGAATTAAATGATAGGTAATTGATTTATCAGATATTCGCCAATTTTTAAGTAAAATAAATGCCAAATAACGTGATGCAAACTAATACTTCGTTAAAGAATCAACACTTCATAAAAAATTAATCACTTATTTTCAAACAACTCTGATCAATGCACATCGATGTGGCCGAAATCAGGAGTTCATAGATAGGAACTTAACATCTAGAATACGTCCTTCAAAATCACTGATAGTTCAAAATAAAACTGTATTTATTAATATGAAATCTAGAGGAGATACGTCTACAGAAATCTTGAAGAAATGAATTTCAAAATCCCTGAGGGAAACTTTTTTTTATTCCATATTTCGAATTGTCTTCTCATGAATATGTTGAGGATAAACTCTGATAAAGTTATTAATGAAAGGCCGTAATCAACATTACACCAAAAACTCTGAGTTCAATAATTCTAAAAATGACTGCTTCTTCAACTAAACATCCATCCATTTCCGAAACATTCAGAACGCCGGAATTATCAGCCAACTAAATTCTGTATTTTTATCTTATCCAAACTAAAACTCTCATGACGATTCACATAAATTGTAAAACCATAACTCACGACAAATAAATCTTGTTGAGTATATATAGCTAGGAGATTTGTAATACAAAACTGAGTAATAGGTTTATGGTTGTTTAGCTGCAATTTGTGATAGGTTGAAGGTATCATAGCAGTTAATGGTCAAATGAACAAAATTTTAATAGATGCACAGGTAATGTAAAAATCAATTCTCTTAGAAATAGCCTCCCAAATATCTTATTTTTCTATCTGCTCACCTTTCCAGTAAAATAACTTAAACTGGGGAATATCTAATAATGCATTCTAAATTGATTTATCAAAGATATCAAACTGATTAAGAAAACGGAGAGATGGAGCTGGGTTTTGTCAGTTATTAGTATTAACTGAGAAATCATTGAAAACCAAAAGGAATTGAAAAGTAGTTATCAAATCAAACCTTGGTAATGACACCTAGAAAAGTAGTTTTGTTTTAGCACGGCTGACTTTAAAAAGTGAAATTCCTGGTAAAAAGTTAAGTGTTTATAATCACATGACTGAAGTATAAAGAAGTTGCTTGAAACCATTGAAGTACGATGAAATTAGTTAAGTATATTATGTATTATTCATGTTTGAAAAAACTACTCAACGAGACACTTCCATACTACATTTCTAACTGAATGCTTTTGAAAGGAAAGGGGTTTATTCTGGCGGCATAATCGTTAAATTTTAGTGGATTTATTCTAAGTAAGTTCCTAATGAAATGTCAGTATATATATGCAGCAAGTGATAATTTAAATATTTACATGGGTCTGTATTAATATACAAAAAATTTCTCAGCTAGAATTAATTTATGATGATTGCTAGCTCATACAATGAAGTAAACTGTTGATTGTCTGGCTAACTATTCTTTAGTTGAAAACCTAACCCCAAAAAATCTCTCAGAACATTCTCCGTTTCGCTGCCTGATACAAATATACGCAACAACATACCTGTGGTAATAAAATTTGTGGAATGATGATACCTTGAAGTCGATAATTTTTACCTATCTGAAAACAGGTTCACCATTAGACGACGAGAACTACATTTTTGATTGGTCCAAGAGTAAGGGAGACAATAGTACACTAAAATACAATTCCACACTCGAAAAAAATTTAAATCCTGGAGATATTTCACTACCCAAACTTTTGATCTCATTAAAGCATCGCAAACTAAAATATCCGATTAATGTATCTTGTAACTGGACAGCTGAAAATTCCCTATACCATGGCACGATTTGATTAGTTAATAATTAACCAATCAGAAGCATATATGTTTTCGACAAGAAACATTTTAATTCTTATGGGGTTGTATCATGGTATATGTGCTTGTACATAGAGGCAAAGAATTGTGGTTATGTAATTTGCAAGGTATATGTTAATAGATTGGTAAAGAGGGCTTGGTTTGAATAATATAACCAATGAACAGTTGAGAATGTGAATGAGTATGTGTAAAAAGTATCCGGAAAAAAGTCCAATTAATTTACTCAATCAACAATCTTGAATTATTTTCTCGTATAACTTTCCTAAGTTCTTCGTTTACACTCTTTAATCAATATGTGGATTGTGTCGTTCTTTTCAAATCTATCCTAACATATAGGTTTTGTCATTCAAATTCTAATAAATTTACTTTTCGTAGCGATTAGCGCTCTCATGATTTTATTTAGACCAATTATATATATTTGCCCAAAGTTCATTTATCTACTAAATTATTTCAAATAGTTTTACATAATAAATGGAGATAGATAGTGGCTTGAAGTGGAATCAAGGATGCTCATTTCGTCATTTGTGAGACTCGTCAGCTCGATGTACCTGAATCTCAGAGTTGGTGTTCACTCTGGGACTCAAACCCAGTACCCTTCACTTCAAACGCTATAACATTATCCACTTAGCTACTGAGTCCTGATAAGGTCATCTAGATGACGATTGATAAAAATGTACCCACTTATTAAAGTTACAACAGTTAACTGTTTTATTCGTAATTTCAAAATAACGACAAATTTTGTTTTATTTTTTGAACAACAAGAATCAATTTGAAGGAATCGAAAAATGGCTTGCAGATATGACAGATTATTTGGATTCAGTATCAAGAGCACATCTACCATCAGTACCAGTTATTCAAGCCCAACTACAGGAAAGTTGTGAAGCATTAAATGATATGAAAACGTTAAAGCCAACTTTACAAAAAGTTGACGAGGTTGCTCACAGACTTTTGGAGTACTTTAGTCCAGCTTATGCTGAAGTATGTTAAATTTGGAAAAAAAGGAAAATTTCAGTTTTGTTCGTCGTTTTTTTTACAGATCTTTGGAGATAGCTATGTTCTACTATGTTAACTGCTTAGCAGGTAAAGTTTAGATTAAGTGAAAGACTGTTATTCACTCGCCACATATTGACATTCATTGAGGTTGGCGATAAAATCATACTGTAATGTTAAAATACACTGTCACTTTTTCTTCATGGATCTTCAGTAGTTAAATAACCAATTAATCAAACAAAAATTTCATATCTTTTCGCGACTGTCTCTGAGATGAGTTTCTCAAAGTCCTTGTTGGAAGTAGTGCTCTGTGAAATTACCCATGTTAAAAATGACATATTTCTAAAATTTGTGATGCTGAATGATAACTTCATTTAATTACAAATGAGAAGTGTATAATATGCGAATCGTATTGTGCTCATATCAAGGTTCATGGAATTTTGGTCCAACGAAAGTGTAATCGGGTGTTTGGGCTATTTAGAATACCTTCACTAGGATAAAAGTAGACGTCTATTTATTACAACGTATGAGGCTAAATTCCATGTCCATTCACATTTTTTCATCCGTTTTACTAGTGAACGGACGTCAATGACAAATTCATACCGGGACAAATAAAAATGAGGATCAAGGTTTCTTACAATATAGAATCGATCATATGTATGCAATCTATAAAGTGTGCATTTGTTAACTCTTACCAGATAATAACAAATTAAGTGTTCTAGGTACATCAATGTTGTCTTGTGATTTTCAAAAATTCATTACTTCCTTATGGAAACTTTTTAAAACTGAAGAAATTGGTATACATTACCTGCATAAATAATGGGAGTTACTTATGAACTTTACAAGTATTCATCCACTTATTTACAAACATATCAACGATTATCGTCAAATGGTACAGAAAAACATAAAGGTCGGATAGTAATTTCGGTTAGTTAAAGTCATGTTTACTAGTAACCTATTCGAGCGTGCTTCGCTGAGAGCTTGGTGAATTGTTTAGTCTATTTGAAGACGATCAGCTGATTCATGTCAGACATCTTTCTTATTGTGATTAATATAGTTAGTTTACTTCAATGTTGGTTCCCATCTTAATCGTTGACATAACACGTAGATAATTTCAAGTCATTTTAACTCCAGTAAGATTCATGAAATTTGATGACTAGTGGTGAGTGTACCTAATTACACATTTTGCATACCTTCTCCTTTCTTTATGCTTAACTATGAATTTATCAGAACTAATATGTTTTGAGTTTAAATTGCATAAATTTGATGCAAATTCACAGGTTAGGTAGTAGTAAGATAAACAGAAATTGAGATGGTCAAATAAGACAAAATTAAGGAGCTGGGACTGAATTAAGTCACTATCAAATAGAATACAGCCATTCAGATATAAGTGATTAGGTTAAGTAGAAATATCAATTTTTCACTGTAAATGACTGTTAACTAGACTCATTGATATAGATGAAGATAAACAATAATCCTTGAGAAACTTAAGTGCATAACCTTGGAGTTAATGTGTATATTCATATTACTTGGATAACTGAGTTGAAAACCCCCTCTTTTTTCTAACTTGGTGTAAAAAAACAGCTTACCACTAATCGACTTCAATCATTGCACAATGATTGGAATGAAGTGAGAAATTTAACAAAGTCAAATCGAGATCATTTAAGAGCCAAACTAGCTGAAGCCAATAGTTCAACAATGATAAGTAGAAATCAAGAATTTCCTGGTACAACAATACTATCAAATTTATCTTCATCAGCGACAACTTTAATTAATACCCATGTAACATGTAAAAATGATTCAGCTGATCGATTAATTACAAACAATAATACAACTACAACTAATAATAATAATAACACTCCATTATCTACATCAACTACTGAATTTTCAACAACTGATAGTTCAACAATATTGTCTCCAACTACAACTCCTTCTACTATTGCTACTTTATCAAATGCTGTACAAGTAGATATTGCAAAGTTGGAAGTTTGGATGCATCAATCAAAAGAACAATTATCACGATTTTCCATTATAAATGATCCAAATGATTTGAAAAAACTGGAAAATGTTATCAAGGTATTATTCGGTTATTCGTATACAGTTTATGTCACTATTATTATTATTATCAGTCGTAGTACTAACATTAGTATTAATATTAGATCCTATAAATTAATTAGAAAATAGTTCTCATCTAAACATTAAAAACACAAAGTTCAGAGAAGGGATCTCTTTTCAACGAATTTATTATCAAACTGTGTTCTTATAAATTAGTTTATACTATCATGTATCACTCAATAATATTTTTATAACTGTGAAACTAAGCTTGAAACAGCAAGAAGCGAGTTATGTACGAATTAAGGAGCAAAACAAAAACTGATGGCAGATAAAGATTTTACTGACTTGGTGAAAACACAATAGCCTTTTTGGTAAAATGAACTCACTTGCAGACAGAATTCATAGACATTTGATAATTGTTAGTCAACGAATATTATATATAACTGAAAATATTAACAATACAACTGGATTTTTACACAGAAATTATTCAGACGAATTTTAACATATCCAATGTAATTCTTCATGAAACATTTGAAGCAATTAGAATCAGTATTAAATAATACATTTTGTATTTTAGAGTATACTTAGCTTCATCAATATGGAAATTAATTTAGCTTATTTTAACAGTACATTTGTTTTATAGAAAAAGAATTTATTACTATTCCACCTATTTTTTTTCAAGGTGATTAGTGATAAAATAATTGAGAATCGACCAATTTTAGCTGCAATTGATACATGCAGCGCTGTCAGTATAACAGGTCAACCTATTTTAGACACTGAAGCCTTATTAACAAAAGCTCATTTTGCTGATTTAGAATCAGCTGTCGCTGCAGAACGAGAACGCTTAATGGCGGCAATTTATCATTTAGATGACTTTAAAAGTAAGTTTATTATTGATAAGAATTAATTGTTTTATTCCCTTATAAAACTGTTTGCGTCCGCTAATATAAATGCTCTCTTGTTTATTTTTCTTCATTGGGGTTCATGAATCACAGAGTGATTTGTTACATTTTTAGTTATTTTGTTTGACGAGATATACTGAATATGCATTTTGTAAAACAAGTAAGCATTAGAGACTAAATGCTGGCATACTGTGAAGATATTGTTACTAATTAGATCGCTTAACATACTTTTCCAAGTACACCTACTTATCTATTCAGCATTACTCTGTATAATGTTTGATCGTGAATAGTTTGACTCTGTTAACAATCATCTAAATACTTATAGTTGACAAAATTCAATCATAATGTAAAAACAGACTGTTCAGAGTTCTACCAACGTACAGTGAGTTGTTCGGGAATGTGACCTCCAAAAGCGTTTGATATCTTTTACGAAGAATTAGTCGCTAATATATGCTATATGCTGCTAAATGAATAGCATTAGATACACAAAACATATATTGGACAGCGCTTCCCATCAATGTTCTTTAGACAATCAACATATTGCTTATAAAGTTCAATCGTTGGGTTTGAATAAAACACTGTTACCGTTACTGATATGACTATGTGTTATGATTATGGGAAATGTGTTACTTGTTATTTTTCATAATACTACAAGGATTGATGTGGATTGATGTAAAGAAGAATACAAGAGTACTCATGAGGATTTATTCATTCATCAATCACTGATTCCTATCATTGATTCAAAAACTATGTCAAAAGTACAATGTTATATCTATAATTTACACTTAATCAATCAATTATTAAATTTAGATGCTTAAAAATATAACTAAATTATCGAGTTATATTTTTTATTCATCCCGAAAGTAACCAAATCAAATTTTCAGACAGATCTCTATGAAGTAATATTTTAACTGGAAAAGTAAACAGATAAGTTCTAATGTGGTAAGCCGAAGAAAACCAATCTAGCCATTATTGTATCTCGGTATATCAATATTTGTAAAAAATACACAAAAGAAGCTTCAATTTAGGTAGCAATACATTGTTGTTGGAAGTATCACAGATAAAATATCCACGGGAAATGATTTAGTTCAGTATAGAAATTGTAGACTGTTGACTAATGAAGCAGAAATCCTTTAATATCAGTTTAAGATTTTTTTTCCTGTTACACGGTCTAAATGATTCTACTGGATAGTTTACTCTGTTCTCCAATCAATCACTGTGAATCATCTAATTATTTTTCTTATTGTAACTTTCGGTTCCTTTTTTTAACAAGTTATACATTTGTGAGATAATAATTCTTCTAATCATTGGTCATTTATTATTTTCTGATATTCAAGAGGTTATGATCAATAGTAAGTATTTGGAAAGGATTAAGGTCTATGTTCCATGTATATTATTTAATGCGATTCTCTCGTTATCATCATTTCATCGATAGATTCAATCACATTAATTACAAGTAACCATTTGAAGGAAAGTATTGTACATACAATAACTTTTAATCAACACTTGAAAACATTGAATACCTTAATATTTCATCTAATGTTTATGTTAGAATGAATAGAATTTTAACTGAACACTCAGTAAAGTCTACAATAGATTTAATAAACAGTAATAAATTTATAATATCTTTTATTTCTCAATTATCTCTTTGTTAATATTTTCATCATTATTATAATAATGAGTTATTGCCTGTTAATATCTTTTGAAAATAGCTGTATTGAATAGTGAAAAACGATGGTTTGAAACTGTTAGAACAAATAATGAACGTGTTAAAAATAGTAGTTATTCAGAAATTAGTGAAATAACAGATGATTTAGAAGTAAGTTTAAACTATTTTTTGTTTTCTAAACTGAAAATTATTCAAAAGCGATTAGAGATAACAATTTAATATAACTTATTGGTAGTGCAAACCCTAGTTTACTAAGTTTAGATGAGTTGTAATACTATCCAGGTGCTTGAATTAAAGTAGCCTGTGCGAGGTTCAAACCTGTGGTTTTTCGGTTGAAAGCTGAATGCTTTAACAAATCATACTAATCAGTAAGAAAAATAAAGGAAGAACCTGTGAAACGTGATCGATTGTTTAAATATTAATCATTTTATGAATTATCCTGGTTTTCATTGATTATGAGATATTTTCAGTCACAAAATATCTGTATATGCTTCGATCAAAACGAACAAGACCGTTGTTCATCAGTGTAAACACTCTTATTTTAAGTCAGTGTACCATTGGATAAAATCGCGCTGAATATATCTTGGTTTTTGTTAATGAGTGATTTATCTAACCATCATACAACAAGTTTAAACATAATTAAAAAGTCTGGTCATGTTAATGAGTTGAACTAATTATTGAATATCATCAATAATAAAAATGATTATTACCCACTTAATTAAATGAATTCACTGTTCTGTTTTACAGTTTATCTTAAAAATTCTATTGATAAGATTTATCATCATAAGTCAAATGAGGAACTGTATGAACAGAATTTTAAATATGATTATCCAACTCTATGATGACGATCTTTACATAAAAGAGTAAGATTACCAGATTAGTTAAAAAAAACTATTACAAAATCTTGCATAATTGTTTGTTGATTAAAGTTTCCATAACTTAAACAAATAAAACAAGAGAAAATGAAGAAAAATAATCATATGGAAAGAATATCAATGATAACAATAAACTAAGTATATGATATATAAGGTTGAACATCGGTTAGCAGTGGAATTATGGATGCTCATTTCGTTCTATCTGGAACTCACTAGCTGGATGTACCTGGATCTAAGTGCCGATCACGTACTGAATACTGGATCTAGATGTCTTCTAGTTAATACAGTTATATTTAAATTTTTGAGTTGTCTAGTTATTTATCGGTCACTAATGATATATGGGTATCCCAAACAGTGTCTCGATATTACATTTTGTTACAAACGGTGTTAATGTTTAACTCCAATCGGTCTCCACAAATCCTCATACCGATAATAATCATGTGCTCAATAGTGACTAGCTTCAAGATAGATTTCTAAAGTTCTAGTGAAGGGCTGTGACCAGTGGAGTCCAACTTGTGTCGGGTGTGAGACAGTCATCCACCTCAGACAACGGATGAAGGTTTGCGCAAGATCGTGAATCGATTGAAGTCAGACATTAACACTGTTGGATTCAGGCTCAGTGGTCTCGAGGTGAAGCGTCCGTGTGTTAGACCGGAAGTCCCGGATTCGAGTCCCACATGCGGGACTGCCGAGTCACGTGTGAAACGAAACGGTCGTCCAGTGCTTCTAGATTTTCAGTGGTGTTCTGCCTTATATCGACTCGTGAGTTCAACTGTGAAAATGCTACAGTCTCCACAAAACCCTATGTTGATATATATATCCCTACGAGACGATAGTTCCTTATTTTGTTCTCATTCCAGTCCCTTGACAGATTATCAAGAGAACATACAATTGACGATGAAGAACGCTTAAATAAATTAGCTAATGCATTACATGAATCATGCGTTATGGGTAGTGCAATAATGAAAGAACTTGAAATATATAAAACAGAACTAACCTTAGTTAAAGTTGAAGTAAGTGTACTTCGTAAAGAAATTACTTGTACGTTGTTTATAATGTTTTTTTTCTATGTATATTTCTTGTCGCTGTAGTTCAAAATTAAGAGATATTCACAATGATCATCGTTTTCTTTCTCGTTGACTTATTTTTTATAAAAGTGAATAGCTGCAAAAAAAAACGTTTCATTGTTTAGTTGAACACGTCAATCAGGACGTGTTATTTTGTTGAAACTGTATGAGTCATGTGTTTAGTATATTAAAATTATAAGCGTTATTTACCAAAATAACTAAGATCATACATACTAAGATTAAGTATACTTATTCTAATTAGAGTGATTGAATGAGTGATGTTTTATTTCGACTAGATTTTAAGCCTGGTGCACCAAATACGTGTGACCATAATTTCTTAACTGTTTTTAGACTTCCACAAACCTACAACTTACGAATCCCAAATAAATTCGCAAAGAATTAATATGACGAAAGGTTTACTTCCGAAATCACTTCATTTATACACATCATATGGGTACTTATTTGACTAGAATTGACCTTAGAGTTGTGAACAGTCCTATGAGAATGCTAAAAGTAATAATTACTTAGTTGCTTTTATCAGTCGAAATAAGTAAAAATATAAGTGTTTTGGCTTCCGAATTTCATTAGAAGTTTTCTAAATGCTTTAATTGGCTCACAATAATTTGGAACATTGTTTTTAAATTATCGAACAGTGTGTGTAAGGTAGTTACCCACCGAGGACAATGGCAGATGGTCATGCAATATCATGGATTGATTGATGTCACATATTTACATCCTCGGATGCCGGTTCAGTGGTCTAGAGGTTAAGCGTTGTCACGCGAGTCTGAGTTCGATTCCTGCATACGAAGTCGTAAATAGGCACTGTCGAGGCGTTCAGTGCTCTCAGGTTTTCAGTGGTGGTCTAACATTCCTCGTTTCATGATTTCAATGAAATTTAGCAATCTCCACAACCCTATATTGACAATCGAGAGTAGGATGAATTATATGTGTTTGATCACTATGAGATCTGTTTCCACTGAGATATACATTATAATTAGTTAGCAAACCAGCTCGTGGCTGACTAATTTTTCATTGACTATTATCAATCGTATAATCACTGAAAAATAGAGACCGTTCTCAGTCTCTTAAGAGACTGAAAGTGTTTACAAATCGGAAACAATGATGAAACAACTGGTAATTTTTCTCTAGTTAATAATGGTTTTCAAGTAGATATCAGTCAATTATGAAAACTGTGTTCTAGTGACGTCACAGGAATCGACTGGTTCATAAGAAAGTAACCCACACCATTCACCAAATATATACTGTTTTATATATTTAGTCAGATACAGTCATTGCCAGTTACGTTAACTTTCTGGGTGATTTCTAGATCCCTTTAATATTTTACAGTCGAACTCCAAACGAAACTAAAACAAGGAAACTAATTAAGAAACTTTACTCTGAAGGCCAATCTGTTTATAGATAGTTAAAGGTACTGTTGACCTAGGAAATCGAGAATTTCATAGGAAAGATGCAACAATAGAATTAATGTTTCAAATACTCGATTAATTAAATTAGTGGAATTCTTCGAAGTCACTAAATGGCTAGAAGTAATATGGATAGTTCTCGACAGTGAATTTATTGATCTATCATTGAAATTTTTTTAAATATTAAAAACCTTTTTTCTAATCATTAGATTGATTCTACAACTGCTTATCTTCAAAGTTTACTTGACCAATTACGTTCAGTTGATGAACGTGTTACAGAAATTGAGACTAGTTTATTGAACATTGAAGATGATTTGGATAACTACTTTTTCAATACACAATCTACCGGTGACATCAGTGTGTTAACAAATAAATTGCAAACACGTATAAAAAGTGCAAATAATTTAATTAAAGATCTAGATGAAATGATCGAATATAATTCATTACATTCATGTACTGACTGTTTGACCAATCGACTAGAAAGTTATAAAGCTCAATTACAGGTAAAATTCAAATCATCTCATTTAATGTAACGGTTTTGCAATATAAAAATACTAACAGAGATTTATTCATGAACATGAATTTGTCGAGACTGGTCCCACTGCAATGAGTCTATGTGGATTTTTCTAACTTTATAATACAGTTATAAGTTGATGTTATACAAATCAGTTATAGATAAAGTCGCTTTAGTCACACCTACTCGGTTGATAGTGTTTTGTGTAAACGCAACAAATTTCAAAATCAAATTGAGTATAGGTTTATTTGAGAAATGATCTCGATATTGTAATGAACGGGAACACCAGGGGGAACAATCAAATTTATCTTAATACAATATTACAGAATATCTCGGTAAAATCTGAGAACAATACAGTAATACTTCATTTGCAGAATATCCATCACTTTTCATAGACTTTGTTGTTACTTCATTTCCATACCAATCACTCTCTGTTCTCATTCTATTCTTTTCGATTTCCTCAACTTTCTGCCGCCACGTATTCCATTTAAATTCGGTGGTACATCCTACTTATATCTATCGACATCAGTAGCACACATCACAATATGAGTTACTAGTAATCAGATAACTTGATGTAGGCTAGCTGTTTACATTGGTAATTACAATCAAACTCCAACATAATCATCCATCTGAGCTAAAAATTTTCCTCTTTATCTAGTAGTAAATTAGTTTATCACTAAATTAATCCAATTATTATCAGGCTAAAAATTCAAAGTGAGAATGAAAAATTTCGTACAATTATACTTTAAACATAATGGATATATGCACTAGACTGATACAGAGGAAGTAATTGCAGATTTATAGACAAAATGATATTTTTCGCTTTGTCGTTTGCTATACACTACCAGTTATTCTTAAGATTGAATATGAACCGTAAGAGTTGTATTTTACTATGTAAGTTTCAAATGAAATACTAAATTGTGAGTTAAATTGGAATATATTATGGTGTTATTAATGAGAAATATTCCCGACATTTACGTATAAAGTAAACAATAACAAATGAGGTAACTTGTTCAACGCTAACTATTTAACTAATAATTTTTACAAAAGTAGTTTTGTAGAATCTTGAAAACCGGGAAATCTTCATCTGTTGAAATATTTCATATTTCAGTGAAATAACTGTTTCGATGGATATTAACTTAGATAGACATTCCCTAATTATGATTACATATAGAGAGATGAATTAAGGAATTATAGTAAGTTTATTAATGTAAACCTATGACTAGTTAATTGGAATGCATCTAAAATCTACTCAGAACATTACAGTGTCTATTTTGATTTATTAAAATGAGTTATATTTATTTGTTTACTGATTTATTTGAACACATAAATATTGGTACAAAGGGGCACAGAATATATATGCGTCACACAAGTCACTTGATTTGTGTATGGGCCATGATATTACCCGGGGTGCCCAGATAGAAGCAGGATTAAAATGAGACTGTGATTTTTAATTACATCTTTTGTTATATCTAACATTTAATTACTGATTTAATGATTGGTATTTTTTGATTTTGTTTATGATACATATCATTATGGTCCACTCGTTCACTTTTATACAATAAATTTCAATATAGTTTTCTTGCCTTAAAGATCAACCTAATTTTATCTGTTTATTTTAATAATTCATGTAATAATAGTCAATTTTTAATCACTGAAAGACTATGATGAATTTTTACCGGATTACATTCATATGTGATCTGATGTTGCCTATGTTCGAAGTTAATTTATTGTTTGTTATTAAATGTTTATATACTTTAGACATATATACTAACCATTATCTTTTTTTTGTATTGTAAATAAATACTATTTCACATAATGAATACGATATGAATTTAGGAACGTGTTGAACCATTGAGTAAAATCTTACCTCAACTATCAAATCCTTCAGTTCATCAGTCAAAGTTAAATAAATTAAACATGGAATTAAAACAAATTGAAAACAAACTTTGTAGGCTAGATGTTATATCTGTGGATCCAGAAGATATTAAAGCAGCCGTTAGTAGTGGACGAGTAAGTTTATTACTTCAATTAATTTGATTGAGGTTGATACATTAAAATTGGTAATGTTGATCATTATATACCTTTATGTGAATGTAATAAAGCTTATTTATATGATCAATAATATTCAGCAAATTGGTTTCATAGATAATTCGCAATATTTTTTGAAAACAATTTTTATCACAAACTGACGTTAAGTGAGAAATAACTAAAATTTACTGACAAATGAACAGCTAATTTGTTGGTCTTAAATTCCTCATCAATACGTATACACATCCCAAGATTAGGTTGAATGGAGGATGCTGGTGAGCGCCCTATGCTCCTCCATGACGGGTAACAGGCGTAAGTAAGTACGTATACAGAAACACATACTTCATAGGAACTACCTTCAAAATATCTACAATTCTCCATAAAATCACTTCGTTTAATATTAACAGTAAGTTCACCGTCAATTAGTTTTGATGTATATTTTCCGAAATTTTAATCACAAATCATGTCCTGTGAAATCTATCAATTACTGCGTGTTACTACATCTAATCAATGGTAATGAAGGAAGCTGATTAGGGGAATAGCTCAATACTCTTACTTTTCTAGCCATACAAGTACACAACAACTTAACTACACGTAAGTGGTATACTTTATTCTCATTATCTTATGACTCACTTTATTTGTTATATGGCGCCTTACTGGTTAAGATATCCAAAAACTGGGTCTCGGATTCGAGTCGCTCCATTTATGTTATTTCGTGAAGCCTTGTTGTACTATTAATCCTCGAATATATGGTACAGCCCAAAATCTAGTACATGATTTTGTACTCAATGTGTTTCAAAACTTATTATACAAGCAAAAGACATTATATTTTACTGTAAAATATTTTAATAGATGTACTACAATAACATCAGTTATTTCTTAATCGGATTTCATTTGCATGTTCTATTTAAAAAAATCCAAATAACTTACAATTTACATATTCAGCGTTCATTTACATTTCATGATTACAAACATTATATATTTCCTTGATTTGTTCCCATTTTTATAACTTACAGACAATGCTTGCAACATTGAATGAATTAAAAACTGATTTGTTAAATATTATGGATAGTGATGAATCATTATATATTAATGAAAAGTTAAACAATGAATGTTTAAGCATGCTATCTGAAAAACATAATCAAATAGTTTACAAATTTTGTCTGGACTAGAACGTTTAGATAAAGCTTTACCATTAATTGAAGAATTAGAACAGCTTATGTCACAAATTAATGAAAATTTGTTAAGTGTTGAAGAAGTAACTGACTACTTAGAAACAGCTGATTGTCCTGTATCAAGAAAAGATTTGATTCAAGTAAGTTCTTTTTAAATATGTATTTTGTGTTTGTATACATAAACTATATAAATTGATTGGTTTATAGAAATGAATTGAAATTCAAAACTTCACATAAATTCTAGGATTAGTGAAGATTGGAAGAACTATGCGAATTTGTAATTCATTCTAGCCAAAAATTAGTCAGCAACATTCACACTTTTGTCTTTAGTCTCGACTTAATCTTAATATCTCAAAAGATGGTAGTCAGTGCGTGAATTTTTAATTAATGAACTGGAATACACTGAATTCTTATTCAGTGTTGGAAAATAAATTGTTCTTAGAATATTAAAATGGTGAACAGTTGAGCGATAGACTTTCCGAATTCACTGTTTTCCGATTCGAATAGTTAAAATTTACTATACTATCAGTTTAATGAAAAAAATATTGTAAAAATGTTTATCTCTAGATGTCAATTAGAAATTACACTTTGTGTCACCTATAAAGCAAAAAAAGTTTCACTCTTTGAAGGTGGTCTTAATTTGATCCGGCTAGAATTATCACAGCGGGATTGTTTTTAGTTATGGAATATTTATTTTCAGTGTCGAATAGTTAACTGTTACTTATTAATGGATTTATCTGAGTAATTATTAAATATATGTTATGAACGGTGTATTACCTAAATTAAATCAGTAATGTCTAGTTTTCGAGTAGTACATTATATTTATTCGATCCCATTCGTGCTTATAATCAATGATAAACAGTTTGAGGACATCAGAGATGTACTTCATCTGTAGACAAATTTTGGTATCATTTAAGCATATCGTTCATAGGACTATTACCATCAGTGCGTTTTAACCACGGGAAAATGTAAGTGTAATTTACACATCAGTAAATCTCTATGCTTTCATTATCTGAGTGAAAACGTATGTTTTCTTTCCAAATAATTCTATCCTATGAAATATATTCAACCTTTAGTGCATCAGAATATCGGTTTTAACGCCACAATAAAACAATCGTTTCATAACATTAAATATCTGGACTACTGGCTAACAATAAGTAGTATAGATTAGGATCAATAAAACAATCTGATATACTTCAGGGTAGTTTTATGTTACTAATTTAACACTGAATTCATCTGAGGCAGAAAAAATCCACTAGAAACATTATTTCATCAAGACAGTGCAATTTATTAAACAATAATTAAGTGATTAAACTCGTCATTCACTTTTTTCATCTTACTATTTAGAAAATTTATCTACAATTAACACATTTATGCCAAGAGAATGGTACAGTTGTTCAGATTAGACAAGTAGCTAATAAATTGAAATTATTGACACCAGAAGACAAACCAGAGTTAACTGCTGAATTATTTAATGAAATTGAAGACCATTTACATAGAGTGATCATGGCTAAAGAACTATTTCAATCACAAATGGATGAAGTAGAAAAAGATACGAAATGTAATGAATTATTAGAAAATTCTATAAACCAACTGAAATTACGCAATATTCATACACCTGAATTAATTGATAAACTTACGGTAAGAAATTATTGTTATAGTAAGAGGCTAATTAGTCTTTAAAATACCTACATGTTTATGATTATTGATTCTATATGAAAAGTGAATTTATCCTTTTGAACACTTAGTACACTATAAAATTGATTGTTTTAACAGAAATCATATTAGTCTTAAATGTAAAAATACCCACTATCAGTTTAAAGCAATGCATTAGTAATTATTTCGTTGATTATCATCACTACATTATTCACGGTTAACTACAGTGATCAGATAATATAGATCACCATGGATGTAACAACAAAGTTCTGATTGTTCACACAAATAAATCTTGGCTACAGACATAAAAGAACGACTTAAAATTGAATATTTGTTTTTTATTCTTATATCATTTACGACAAATGGTTAACTATTCTTCGCTATCCCACTGTTCCTGATCATAAGTTTTTATAAATACGATGAACATTGTATGAAGCATAAACTTACGGGTTTTGGTTAAACGCTGTAAACAAATAGAATAAATATTTAGGGAAAAATCCCATTCGAAGATAATATCCTGATAAAGTTAGATGGTTCTATTTATTTTTGTTATCAAACATTAGAACACTGTATTGTTGATATCCAAACCACAATTATTGTACTACAATCCCCAAAATAAACCATGCAGAAACAAGTTCTGGCTGAAGTAGACAATATTATACAGTAACAACTGTGATATTTCATGTGAATTACTGTTTGTGTAATTGTTAAAGTTCAAAAACCATTTAGGAAAGGAAAAAGTTTGATGTGATTGTAACACTACAGTGCGATATAATCAGAGAAATGTGGAAACGAAACGTATCAGTCTACAGAATTAAGAAGTCTAACTGTTCAATGCAAATTTATGTATAGTAGTTAGTGTTTTATGTGGTCGACGTCAATCAGCCGATTGTGACAACATTCATATCACAGAAGGATCAGGCTACTGTGCTGTGAATACTGATGTTATTTCAATATTTTCACCTCTCTTGAATATAGTACCAACGGCCCCGTTATTAGTAGTTAGTTAAAGTCAGTCGGCAAAAAACAAGGAGTCTAAATTTCCTGATAGTTGATACTCATCATAAGGAACTGACATTAGTTACTACTCAGATTCTGCTGATTTGCAATATAAAAGCATTACAGTCAGTTTATTTTTAGAAATTCTCCCACTTTCGACTTACTTACATTACACATGGTTAGATTACCGCCGCGTGTGGTTATTTAGAATCAGTAAAATTTTATCAATCAATATATATATATATATATATATATATATGTATATATATATATATATATATCTTCATAAAATATGACATCGGGTAATCATAGAATCTACTTCACATGTTTCATCTCATCCCCAGGTTTTCGTTTACATATAATTGCATTCGTGTTGAGGTTTTCGTTGAAACTGTAAGATAACACTTCTTACTTTAAACAACACATCGTTATCCACTAGGTTGTTTGGTCACAATAGCCTACTCCTGTTCAACAAGTTCTCTCAAGATACAGCTTACACTATGTTGTTAAACGTTACACATTTAATTTTCTAATCATAGAGACAATAAAAAATACCGTTAGTTTTATTATTAACAATTTACAAAATTCTCAGTTTATTTTATCAAATTGAACCTCGGTACTGATACCTACAAACTAGGTCGTATACGTTTTTAGTTAACACTTTTTTTTCTCTCAAAATTCCAGGCCGATGTCTATTCAAATCCAACGATCAAGAAATCATCCGGTGATTACTTATTATCAATTGATCGTTTAATTGATAATCTTTTAAAATCTGATGCACGAATTTCACCAACATTACAGAATTTAGCTCGAGAAATCCGGATACATTTCAATGGAATTATAAATTTTAATTGTTATTGTTTGGGAACCAGTGGACCATTGTCTTTATCACAAACTGATTCATGTAACGAAGACTATCAGTATTGTTCAGACAACATGGTTCTTGAAACTTCAGTCTCTGAAAGGAAAACTTTGTTACAGGTAATTTGAAGAATAAGGGAATGTAGCAGTGTGAAACATGAAGTAGTATATTCTAAGTTGATTTATTAACTAAAGTATCATGCTTAAAATACTTTAGAAGAAATCCTGAAATATTCTAGCAAAATATATTTGATTATATACATTTTTCATGACAATCTGTTTGTCTGATTACACAAAAACCTTCAAGTTGAATTATTCTTTAAATGATCAATTATGGTTGTGATAAGGTTAAGGGTAAAACTGAAACATATCACTTTCATTAAAGAGTGTTTCCATAAATTGTGATATTGAACAATCAGTATAGAATGTAGTGCACTAGTTTGGATGAAGCATTTCATTATTTTCAAATATTTTTTCATTGGATGATTTGTAAATACTCAATTTAACTGTGTATGTTAGACAAGAAATATGTTGTAGTTTCTCCCTTTTAAAACCAGTTTTTAACAAGTTGAGTTATCTCGGTAAAATGAAAAGATAGTTCTTTTTAAAAATAAATTTCGGTCTGCTTTACACATGTCATCATTTCATCACACAGCAATAGTGTTAGTAAAAATGCATAGTTACTTTTTGCTCACAATTATTGATTGTTTAAGCGATTAGATTAGCTTCATAAAGATCAGCTAACCACTGTTTACATACTTACATTTAAAGATAACTTAGATCACGAAAAATGAATTCAGTCACAAAATAACAGTCATCCAATCACACCAGTTGAGCCAGGTTAGAAGTGTAAATCCTTGAACTACTATCCGATTAACCCAAGGTATTGGAAGAAGCATCAGATCCGAAGATTCTTTATCCCTCTTCTGTCAGGGTTGTGAGTGATCACAGCTGATTGGCGAACTGGGATGAAGTAGCTGTCTACTGGCAATTAATTTTAAATTTTTGTCTAGTTAAGGTCATTCCGTGATGTATGCTACCTGTGGACTAAAGCATTTTAAGAACACCCTATCTAACTATAATACTTGTTATTTTAAATTTATTTCACATGAATAGTTCTGGCTCCATATTGTATTGAATCATTCACTTAATTTTCAATCTTAATTTCAAATTAAATTAATTTCAAAATTTATTATAAGAAATAAATTAATCACTTAATATTTCTATTGATAAGACCATTTATTTCATTAATGCTTTCATTGACAAGAGAGAAGGAAAGATATGATATCCTCTAAAACATATCTATCGAAGAAAGCAGTACATTCTGACAGATATTTAAGGAGATTATGGGAAGCAATCCTATCATGACTCAACCATTTATCGTTTGTTATGTGTATAGTTGAGTGATTTCAAAAGTTGATTTTATAATAAAACACGTTTTGAAATCGATACACTAGATGATCGATTGAATAAAACACCATGATATTGGTGTAGAAAATTCAATGTCTATTCATCATACAAGTCATATTCAAGGTGAGAAAAAGTTAGATGAATAGCGGCTAGCAGAGAAATCCAGAGCGTGAATTTAGTCCGATTCAAGACTCATCCCTGAGTTGATGTTCAATCCAGGACTCGATCTCAGTACTATCGCGTTATCCACCTATCTATTGAGTCTAGATAGCCATTGGCTTGAGCGATGTCAAACAACTAGTGAGAATAAAAGATTTTTAGTATGGGGTTGTGAAGATTGTTGAATGTCATTGAAATCATGAACTCATCAATGTTATATCACAATCAAAAACTCAGAAGCACTAGAGAATCATTTCGTTTTAGTACGGGACCTCTCAGCAGTGTGCATCCACGATACCGTAAGGTGGAACTAGAACTACAGTTCCTCCGTCTCGCGCGCGAACGCCCAACCTCTAGATTACTAAACCTGTGCCCATTGGTGTTGATGACTAACTTTAAACAATCTACAATACAATATAAACATGTGTTTACTAACAAATAGCTTCGAGAGGTAATTCTCGAAGTTCTAATGAGGATCCCCGTCCAGTTGAGTTTAACTGTGTCGAGTGTGAGGGAGTCACCTATCAAAGACGATGGAGAATCGTCACGCAATGCCGTGGATTGGTTAAAGATATACATTGACACAAGTGGTTCCAGGTCCAGTGGTCTAGAAATTAGGCGTTCACACGGGACCATGGAACTTTGGTTCGAGCCTCGAGTGCATGATCGTAGATGCAAACTGCTGAGGAGTTTCATCCTAGGACGAAACGACTGTCCAGTGCTACCAGGTTTTCAACAGTGGTCTTACATTGATCGGTTCACGATTTCAACAAATCATAAAGGTTATAACTCTGACATTTAACGCAGCTTATGATTTTTTGTCAGTCCTTGAAGTCATCTAAATTGCCATTACATACGTGGTAAGTTATAGAGCATCAATACAAAGTGACTAACTACGAATATTCTTCCGTGTAAGACACTACGCCTCAAATAACTCAGAAAATTTGTCTTGATAATTTTATTTCGTTGTCAAGATGTGGCATGACAAATTGATTTAATGCACATATGTGCTAGATTCTACACTACATATAGTTAACTGACTGAAATTAATCAACAAAATGAAAGATTTTTTTAAAGTGTAAGTGACATTATACTGAATGAATGATCATATACAAAGGCATAACTTGTTAAAAAAATCAGCACGTGAGTCTAACATATCTTTTATCATAAATTATAAAGTGTAACAATTTACTGAATGATCAGTGATCGATTAGTTTAAGTTTTTGAACCCTTCGCAATCTTTTTCCTCTGTTGGTAAGAATTACAAAGATCCCTAGCGGGGCTTTAGTTATAACCTATAAGGAGTCGCATATTCGAACAAAATAATTAACCAGTGATTTCTGATTTCTAATAATTATCTAACCAATGTCTGTCTATGATGGGAAACCTCAAATGCTCAGTGATACAGTTTAGTGGCTGTTTAGATCCCTAAATTTAAAAGTTACCTTATTCCTTATTATTATTATTGCATGTTTTATTTAAAATTTTTAATAGTGACATTTTCATTTGCACATTAATTAATTCGTTTTATTTTAACTAGACCTACTTCAAATTTACAGAATCTGTAAGTATGCGTGTGTTTATGAGTATACATATGTACATGTGTGTATGTGTTACAGAAGGATACAATAAGGGATTTCTTAACATGGAAACAATGTTTGTTTTTCCTCTTTTAACATCTGACTACGCTTATGTTACCTGATATATAGAATTATGTAGCTATTTTGTCACTTGTTTGTTTGGATTTATTTTAATTCATTTTAGCCGCTTTTACTGTATGTGTTCTCAGGATATATTTTTAATCTCCAATTCATCTTTAGGTTTCTTTTTTTACTTGATTAGATTTCAATTTAAAAATTATTATAATCAATATTGGGGTATCTTAGTTACTGTAAATTGAAAAGTTAATTGTTCATACTTGTTATGTTTGTTTTTATAGTAATTGAGTGTGTAGCTATGTGTTGTGTGGCGTTTCGTGTATTCAACCATTTCTATGCTGCGCAATTTCTGGAATTCGGTTACCCTGCTTGGTTAGCTCGTAATTTAAAAAATACTGACTAAAATTGATAGGAAGTCTGAGTTTTAGGAGGAATGAAATGTGAAAGTATTGAATAATTATTCCAATATTCCATTCAAATCAATTGTCAACCATCATTTTACCTGTATGATTCACTTAGTAAGTGAAATTCATTGGTAAGATTTTACAGAGATCAAGACAACATTGCATTGTAAGACAATTAGTGAAATTATTATTGCAAGTAACAAACAAAAGAGAAAAAAATTTGGATAAAACGAAATATATTTACTCAGAGAATCGGTTTGAATAATTTGTTCTGATTAGCGTTGTTTTAGCAAGTTAGATTTCCTTGGGATGGGGTAACTAATTCCATGCCCGACCCTCTTGCTTTATCAGGGCTTGGGACCGGCAGTAGTCTCAGAGGGACTCCAGGCGGAGTTACTCCGAGAATTAATAGACTAAGCTTATTAGTAATATTTTAAGTTTTGACCCAGTAAATACATATTTGATTCCTTAAGTATCAAGGCGCCAAAAAGTTTAGGAATTTATCGATTATATTATTGAACCCACAAAATCGTGACTAATTTTAAACATAAATTTGAGACGAGTAAATTACAATATTTTGTCATAAAATACTTTTATTCATTCTGTACATTAAAATAAACGAATTATTATTTGGAGGAATATCATTATTTATGGAATTTTTGAGCGTAACCCTTTTGCTCCTAATTTTTCATCATAAAATTCAATGAAAACAATTTTCCCTCTTATTATAGAATGTGTTAGAGTACTTTATCTTATTGATAATAAACACGGAAATATTAATTATAATGGTTTATCTGATATATGATAGGCAGATTTTAATTACTATTTCATTTTTAAATCGATCACTAGTATATAACCATCATAATGATTTTCTGTATAATTCATTATAGTTACAAAATTTTTCCACAGAAATTCCCTACCCTATGTTGCTTTCCTCTTTATCAATAAATTCTTGACATGTAACTATTTGATCAATTAACAGAGTTTGCTTGCCTAATGAGTGTATGAGCAGGTTTTTGAAATTCGCTTTAAATGTTCATAAATGTATACGAATATATCTATATGTGCTAAAGGGTGTATGTATAATACAAGTATTTATTTGTTTTAAATGTATATAAATAAACGTACATATTCATTTTGGCTGTATGACTGTTTCTTTCCAATTTGGTATTTTTAGTTTAACTACTTAAAAAAATTTTCAGTAGTATAGTTGCATTGCATACTTATTTATTGCTTAAGTAGTTGTGTGTTTGGGCTGGCATAGAACAGCTGATAAATGAATTAATTATCACAATCATAATACCATATTATAGCTTTATAAATTCACAAAAATAATTTGTCTTATTTTCAGGCACTATATATACATTTAGGTACTCATTACTTATGAGTAATATGGTGCAAAGAAAAGTGTTGTTTAATTCCAGTTTGGAATGTATACCTACATCGTTTATATTTGTTATTTTTGATCCTTTTTATTCTGGGAAAAGTTTAGATTTCATCAACTCCCCAATAGAAAGCCATTGAATATTTGTTTATTTCATGCATAATGAGATTTTTTCTATTTTACATGCTTAATCTCAATATTTGACAGTTATTCGCACAACAAAGATTATATCTGGAAGCACGACTAAGAGATTTAATTGTGACCGGTGGAAATAGTAACTCATCTGACCGACTTGAAGATTTGTTAAATTTGCAGGTAGGTTACTTTTATGAATGTAGATAAATTAATTTTTGTCGGCTATATTAATGACTCAAATATATTCGTGAAATCTTTATAGCGCCTTTAGTTTATTTCAGGACAAATAATGTGTGGAGAAAAGTGATGATACATCTGCATAGAAAAGTATCAGAATGTCGGGATTCGTTTCTTCACCATTTAAATCAATAATCTAAACGAACCATGGACTTGAGACCTAGGTTGGAACTTCACTTCGTTTACTTTTTTGGAACATACGGTAGTATTCTCAGTCCTCACATTTAGAAGATCATAAACATCGTGGATATATATTTCTTTGATTTAATTTAAGAGGAATTATTTTGATGAGTGAAAAAATATCTTGTGAGTGCTTTTCTTTTAACTGAAGATTGGTCATCTGTATATATCTACATATATATCTACAAGATTCGAAACTCACAATTTCTCTTTTCAAAGATTAGGCAGTTATTTTTTTTACTGAATTTAATTAACGTATCTTTACATTACTAAATAATCCGAACATATAAAGAGGGACTGTTTTCACCCTCCGAACTGTCTACTATCTTCTTAATTAAATACTAGCACAACTGTTTTAATGTCTGTATTTTTTTTGTTTCTTTTGTTTTAATGTAAGAGTTTATGGTATGAAACCAATGAAAAATTGGACAAAAAATTTCATAAAGCAACTCTACTGGAAGAGCAACTTAGTACAGCGCAACAGTTATTAATTGATTATATCGTAAGAGATATTTATTTTTATTAAAATATTTAAATATTTTTTCAAATAATTCATTTAGATAAAAGTTTTTTTGTTATAATGAAACTGAAGTAAGTTTTTATCATGACCGAATATAAACTAACAAATGATTGTATGCTATGGAGAGCTAGATAACAATTTTAATCCACTTGTGATGCTAACTTACATTTCGCCAAGAAATTTGAGATAACATAATGATCGAATAGGGTGGAAATAATTTACGGATCAATAATATGAAAGATGATTGTGTATTTGACAGATATGTAGAAGGATAAAAAAAGATTACCCATAGATTATGGTTAACGACTGAGGAGTAACTATAAAAAGACTATACAAGTGTAATAATAATAATAACAATAATAAATTCTTATTAACAATCTCACGATCGCTTTAATGCATGATATTATTCATTATTCATTAGTCTAGTTTGTTTGTTTATTTGTTGTGTTTTTTTAATGAAAAGACAATTGTTTGTTATTTTCTTCCTTACTATTATTAATATTAATATTATCATTATTATTATCTCTTTATAATTTGTTACTAACAGAAAACTCCAACAACTGAAATTTATAATCAATGTATCAAATTATTAACAGAATTAGAACAAACTTATCGTTGGAAATTAACTTTAGATAAAGAACGATTAAAATATAAAGATTATTTAGATATGAATTATATTGATTTAAAAAATAAATTTATTACTGATGATTATATTACATTAAATGATGAATTATTAAATATATATGAAAAACAATTACAGTGTACAAATCGTTTATTAAATTGTATACAAAATGATTTAAAATGTTGTCATGATGGTTTAACTTCACAACTTGGTGCATATATAGATGTAAGACGATTTTTATTGTCGTTGTTGTTTAAAATTATTATTTTTTGTTTTATTTTTACTTGTTATTACATTTGAAAATTTGATATTGATATGTTTTGTTGTTTGAATGCTACTTGTTATATCTGGTCGTCGCTGATTGTTGTGTCGGTAATGTTTATCACTTATACTCGGAACAAAAGACCTCTACGATTCCCAATATACAAAAGTAAAGAACACAAAGACTAATATAAGTAAATATATATTAACCACCAAAACAAGACGACGACCACTCTAGTCAAAAATACACCCATTTATATATTGATTTTACACCCATGTTGATTAATAATTAGGATGAAATCACATACTGAGCATAGTTCATGTCAATGGAATACAATAATATCGTATATTATACGGAACAAAATATCATACAAGAAAACAAAACCAAATACTACATTGAGTAATTATCACATTGAATCAGAATGGAATTAATGTTGAACAAAACTCATAATAAGTAAATCAATTGAATTTTGACTTCTCGTCATATCAGATATAAACAGTTAAAATAATAATGATAGATAAAGGCTAACAGTGGAATGCAGGATGCGCATCTCGTCCTATACGGAACTCATCAACTGGATGTACCTGAATCTCATAGTTGATGTTCACTTCGAGACTCGAACCCAGTACCGTTCACTTCAAACGCAATCACGTTATCCACTTAGCTACTGAGTCCTGATAGCCATCTGCTTGTGGAACGGGAAGTCTTAAATTAATTTGGTGCTGTTTACTCGTATCTCCACATTGTTATTTAGGACTGCGATTAATCAGTCTCTTATTGGTATATGCGTATCATGTGCAGACTGCCTCGGTATTGCGTTATGTAAACAACACCAAGTGAATAGACAAAATTACATTTTATTATTTCTAAACAGATGATTGCTTGCATTTTGACCAAGTAAAAATTTAGAAAGATAAAGTGGTGATACTATAATTTATGGATGACCTTTGAGGAACGCTAAAGTGGAGTTGAGGATGTTTACCTACCTACTAGGGTTAAATAAGGATTATAAAAATATGTGAAGAATAAGGACTGTGACTTACAATTGACAGTTAGGTTTATAAATTAGATTCAGGGTTTTTATCATGAACTGACATCAGCTAAAATGTTAAAACGCTATTTGGTCAAATGTATGAATGAATTTCACGCCAAAATCCGTAACCTGTTATTCTACATCTGATTGGTTCATCCATAAATTATAGTCTAGCCAATACATTCGTTGGTTTTAACATAAAAAGTAACTAAACATAAAGTTTTAAAAATACTGCAAACAAAATAGTACAATAATCACGTTTAAAAGCTAGTCAGATTAGAAAAATCAGTATACGTTTGTTAAATTTAGTCAATAGAGAATGCTGGTGGGCAGCCTATGCTCCTCCACGAGGGGTAATAGGAGTAAAGTAATTAAGCTGAAAAGGATGATGATTACACTTACAGTAATTTTGAATTACAAGCGACTGGGATTTTTTCTAATATGAAATCGAGAATACGGTCATTGACAAATATGACACTTCAACAATTATCCACATGATGAAACTCATGAAGAGGTCAGATGCGAAGAAAAAGCTTAACATTCGATGAAGCTCAGATGTTATACTTTCCCTATATATTTGGGAACATACAGTAACATTAATGGCACAGTAAAATTATAAAATTCGAAGTGACAACGACCAGTCAGGTAGTGACAAAGGGCATTGAGAGAATACTAATCAGAAAATTGTTGTCGCGATTTTCTTAACCAGATTGATAACCTGAGCTCTTCTTATAGTGTGACGTTTCATTATGCAAAGTTTTAAAATTTATCGAGGACAGCGGTTAGTCTATAGATCTATCAGTCTGTCTTTTGCAGCTTTTTCACACAAGCGTTTATTATTGACGTATTAGCACCAAACCTTTATCATTCGATCAAAAATTTAACCTTCTTGGGATCGATTAATCATGATCATGTTAACAAAAAGAAGTACACAAAGACAATCAGAGATTAAAAAGAGAAACAAAAGATTTACAATCTCAGACAATGTTCTTTGCTCATATTACGGAGGTAAATAAAACAACTAAGTTCAAAGATGTGACCTAATTTGATTTCATTTGAAATAAAAAAGCTTGAGAAGGCGATCAGTGGAATTAAGTACTCCCAGTTACTTATCCCTCATTTATATAATGATCAGATAGTAAACTTGTTTTAGCTACTCAACAATGAATCGGACTAACTTAGAATAACCATCATTCAGTTAGAATTTCTAAGTAATTTAAATATTTCAACTTCACTTGTGCATAACAAATACATTTGTTAACTCTTGGCTATTTTAACAACATTTTGTTAACTATTCTGCTTGATATTTTTGTGCTTCTTTTTTAAAACAGACTTTAGAAAGTGAATTACAAACCTGTAATAAATCTCTGATGGATTCAGCAAGAATCCTTCAAGAGATTAATGATGATATAAAATTGAAACGAAAAAGTCAAACAAATCAAATACACTCTGAAAATTCAGAGAATATCAATGTTCTTGAGCAAGATAATGATGAAATAGTTTGGTTGAAAGTTTTACTATCAACACAAAAAAACCGCTTAGATACCTACAATAATGAATTTGAATTGAATAAAAGTAAGTTATATATAACAATGAAATATATTACCCTTAACTGAGAACAGGATTTAGAACAGTTTTTCTCTTCAGCATTGAATACTTTACATTCTTAGTGATATCTTATATTCTTGTATGTCTCAATTTTTTCGGTTCTATTTATTTATTTCATCTTTCATGACGTCAAGCCGTGTTAGGGAATTGCTTCAGTCAAAAATTAGCATTCTATAAATACACAGAAAGAACATTTTAAATGTTTGTAAAGAATTATCTTGATGGAATATTATAACGAAAAACGTTTACAGGGTTCTCGATAAGAAAATTATGCATCATTATTTTAAGCTAATTGCGTGCTGTTTTGTGACGTTAGAGATCTAGAAGCAATCGATACTTTGTAGTACTTTAGGCCGTGGAACGATATTTCTCCTTAGAGATCTTCGAACGTATTTTAATTAGTATTGATGGTATTACCGATTCAACAATGTGGGTACTAAGAGCAATGAGTTATTATTTTAGGCTGGTCATACACTTCCCTTTCTTGAGTAATTTTTGAATGTGTTAGTCCCAAACTTTATCACCGGCATCAACAAATTCGTAGGGTAGGCGAAGGTGTGATGTTTTTGAAGCTTCGCATCGCAATAGATACATCCTATCAATAGGAAGCAACTCGTTACAGCTACACTCTACTACAGTCAACAGCATGACTTCTACTTTGGTAAGTCAGTCTATCATTTTTGCTTTTGTGCCTTCACATCTGACCTCTACTTTAAGAGACAACATCAAAGATCAAGTATTTTAACGCATATGAGTCGACTGAATTGTCATGTTGGCAAGCTTGACCAGGAAATTAAGATACTAGATAGTATATAACTGGGCTACAATAGTTAGACGCACAATTACAAATGTATGTATTGAAACTAATAATTAATGTATCAAATTTACTCTCGTAAGTTTTCATAACATGTTACACTTGAATACACTTCAACTGCTTTTTCGAGATAAAAAATGTATATATAAATCTTATTTGATCAACATTTTCATTCACAGTGATTGGCTTAAACGTTATCAATTATGGCAATCATTTAATGAACGATTAAGAGATTTAAAAATGACAACTAACCATTTGCTGAAATTACAAAGCGAAGACAATCACATAGAACTCTCCAATATTGAGGTAATGCGATTATTGTCTTTTTTGTCAGGTCTCTTTTAAATTTGCAACTATTAATCTAGAATACATTTATGATCATCAGGTAGTAAGACACGTCGTCATTTACAATTTTTAACTTTGATTAGCTATTACTATTAATAAGAATTGTCTAACATATTGCTCAGATTTTAATAATCCTGAAGTGTATAGTGATTAGGAATCTTTATTAGAATTGTCAGAACATAAGCTGAAGTCATTATATTATTAGATGTGGAGTCAACTGATTGTAATATTTTAGTCACTTTTGTGTAGAATATAATCATTTCATAGCGTATAATGCTAGAACATAGATTTTTTTCTAAGATACACATCCCATTCTATTTATAGCCTTATAAAAGTAAATTTGTTTTTGAGTTCCTGCTAAGAGTACAATGCAGATAATTCAAATTTCCATACTGAACTTATTCAGTCTGTTATGTGGTTTCAGTTAACGCAGTCTTAGCAGGATGTATCGATGCTTGCACTGGCTTATCAATAATTCGTCATCAAGATGTTTTGAGACAGTTACTATCCTGTCTCGTAATGATTATTGACTATTTTGGGTTGTGGAATTAGCGAGGACTTTTCAATTTGTACTTAGTTGTAACCATATTTTGACATATGCTGTAGAACTACGGAACAACATATACTCTTAACTATATGCGGGATCGGGGCTAAAACACTTCGATCTTTCAACGAGCAAGACTTTTGCCTTACTTCTGATTTAGTCGGGAACTTGAATAGTACAGCCTTTCTGTCCTTCCCGGTTTTCATTTCTTTCTGTTTCATATCAGCTCTTAGGGAAAATCACCCTGAAATTCTGCGTTGAACATAGTGTCAATATATAGGTTGTAGAAGAATAAACTGGTTTAAATATGAGAGCTTTAAACTTGATAGTCTGCCGGTTGGGATACTGGTTTATTGTTATCAATTTTTTGTTAGTATATATATATATATGTGGTAGTTTGACAAACAAGAACATCTTTGATTCACAGCTAGATTAAAATTGGCTTTAACATCTCGGATGTCTATGTTGTCCATCATTCCTACAGTGTCTAAATATGTGATTATATCTCCTACTCACTATCACTTTTCCACTTTCCGACTGTTTTAAATGATACGGAGAATTTATTAATTCCGTTCAGTGAGTTATTTACTGTTATAACGCTACAAACATTTGTACTACATCTTAAATGACAAGTATTGTTTACAAGGTTATAGTACTTTTTCCTTTTCAGAAACATAAGTCCCAAACTATTACTGTCAACATAGTGGATTTGCATTGCCAAACACTTAATCCAGGGTCACCAAGGATTACAATTAGTGATTTTATTCCTTACTTGTGACTTATATTGAGTTCCTGTGAAACCAGACACTGATTATTCCCTAGATAAGTCTTTAAACATAAATTCAATCCTTCGATTACTTGAAACCATACAAAATGAATCATTATGTCACGATCCTTAATTTAGAAACTATATATTGACCCATCATAAACTTATCCATTATTTGCAAAGTCAGTATGAATAGCTTTTCAACTGACCAACAAATACATCACTTCCTTTGGATTAGGGATTCAAAAAACAAGAAGTTTACGGAACTCTGAAAGCCGAACGTCATTATCAATTTTCCATAGTAATTAGAGAACATTCTGTTCAAACTATACGTTTTATAATTATGGTTTCTTAATCTAATGACATAAATGCCTCCTATTGTTAGACGATATTTATAATCTGATCATTTCTCTGATTCTTCATTCAAAGGAGTAATAAAAAAACAGTGAGACATTGGAATGTCAATATTTTAACATATGTTGTTCTAATCTGTTGTGTTAATCTTTTTACTAGCGTCATCTATGTTGTCATTGTTGTTATAGCAGTGAATCTCTAGGTAAAACATACAGGCAATGGAAAGAAAAACACATTTTCATACTTACTATAAACTAAACACAATAAGACTCAAAAACTGTAGAAAAATTGTTTAGAGTTCTATATCTCGTATTACTGGATGTAGTTATCTTAAAATTTAGTTGATACATTTAATAATAGCCTATTTTGAGAAAGTGCATTTCGTGATTTTCATTTATGAATATGAATGTCTGCCTTGTAATTTACTAGAAAAGTAATTGTTTATTCTGTTAGTATAAAAGATTTTTAGTTAGTGAATCGATAAATTATTTCATAGTTTGTTGTTAACATTTAGTAGAGATAAACAATAAGGAAAGTAGCATAGATATCGTTCAATGTATGTATTGATAAATGAATTTGTTTATTCTCCAATAAGCGTTGATATTCTCTTGGAAATTTTGTATCACATACAAATTACTTTAAATATTCAGACTCAATCTATTGGACAGTAAAGTCACAATTAATACTCGTACTCGTTCTATGAATTAATATAAGGTTCATTCTCTATCAGATATTAATAACTCGAGGAAATATGTAGATGAATTAATGACAAAGTAAAACATAATGTCACTAACTTTCATAATACTTCAGAAATTTTTTTATTTAAAATAGAAATAGAATGTATAGAGAAGTTTCTGTTATTCAATTGCAATAGTGTTCAATTGAAATCTTGTTAATTTTAAGATCCTTTTCAATGACGAATTATTAAAAAACTGAGTAGCTCTGAATCATTAAAAACTCTTTGGCAGTGTATTTGCACTATTACATAAAGAATAAAGAATAAAATCTTCAGGTTCGACTACAGGTGCGAAACTAATTAGAATCCAGTCATTCACCCCGTTTACTAAATATTATGACTATTGTTCATTGTTATTACTATCCAATAGTTTCATTCACGTATTAATTGATTTCACTAATTATGACTTCCTATTAAAGCTTAGGCTTGCGAACTATCATTACTTACTTACTCCTGTTACTCCTCGTGAAGGAGCATAGGCCACTCACCAGGATTCTCCATCCAACCCTGTCCTGGGCACTCTTTTTCAGCTCTTTCCAGTTGTTATTCATCCTTTTCATATCTGCTTCTATTCCCCAACGTAATGTGTTCTTTGGCCTTCCTCTTTTCCACTTCCCTTCATGATTCCAAGTTAGGGCTTGCCTCGTGATGCAGTTTGATGAATTGCGTAATGCATATCCTATCCATTTCCATCGTCTTTTCCTAATTTCCTCCTAAGCTGGAAGTTGGTTTGTTCTCTCCTACAGAAGGCTGTTACTGATGGCATCCGGTCAATGAATGTTGAGTATCTTGCGTAGACAACTATTTATAAATACTTGTACCTTCTTGATGATGGTTGTATTAGTTCTCCAAGTTTCAGCTCCGTATAGTGTGATCTATCATTATATGATGACATATACAAATAAAACCCAATTGTTTTAAATCATCATTTTGTCATAATATGTAATTACTTTTTTGAATAATTCAATAAGTGTTAGGGTTAACTTGTTGATTAGCAAGTTAAATTAAAGATATTATTTCAAGTGGATTGTTAACAACTATGATATACAAAACATTTTATAACTTTTCTATTAAAAATGAAATACTTGATTTATTCAGATCTTAAATGAATAAATGTTCAATAAATTTGTTGTAATAACCCATGTTATATTCTCATATTATTTTTTGTGCAATATGGTTATAGTGTTGTGTTTTGCTGTATGTACGTATATTTAAATGTTTATATCGACCTAAATATCTGTTGATATGTATATTTGTTCAAATGCATGCATTTTTGTTCAATTTACTATGGATTATATTTTACAGTAGAAAACAATATTCAATTGTATAATATAATAGTCTTTGTCATCTTAAACGATCTCTTTAGGAAATAATTAACTTGTTCTTTCATTTAATTTAGAATAAAATTAAAGACACATGTATAGAATTTACCTCACTCCGACAACATAGTTCCAAGTTGATTAGTATGAATTCAACACGTATCAAAGCACCTGTTAAACAATATTCATTACCGTCTAGTACTGGGATATCTTCAATAATAACAAGTTCAACATTTACGGGAGCATTAGACTCGATAGCAACAAGTTCAAAGAGTTCCAATGAAGAAAATGAACTAACAACAACAGATATTTACAATAAAGATAAACCACCAACAGTTCCACCTCGTCGGCATAGTCTATATCGTGGACATACTATTCAGTCAATAGAACATGATCATGAATTCGTAAGATATGAATTGAATAGATTAGAAAATGAATTACTTAGTTTGTGTCGTAAATATGGAACATTGAACTACGTAACACAACCTTTGGCTGTTAAGAAAACCCCAAATACAACAATTTATTCAGAGAAATTAGTCAGTGAATTAAATCCATCACAACAGATCACTAATAACAAACTGTGAGTTTGACCATTTAACTTGATAACGTCTATTAATGCTTTGACTGGTTTATGTCTTAAATGCGTAAAATATAACTTTCAGTGTTAATTGTTGAATAATACGGACGTTACTTATGACATGTAAAAGTTAATCTCTGACTGTCAAATGGTTAATTAACAGAAACGGTTTCTCTGTATGGTTGACGTCTAACAATGAAGTACCAAATCAAGCCTAAATCGTGGTCACCAGTTAAATTGCTCTTAAGTACTGTACCACTTTATAACAATTAATCACAAACCTAACAATCATATGAAATCAAATATGTGTTGCGAAACCTCACTTGGTATCGACTACCTAGAAAACAACCTACATATAAATATGTGATTATTGGGGTGAGTTTAAACAACAACAAAAATGAGAGAAACATGTTTAAAGTATCAATATGAAATGCTGAATCCTAAAGTTGACTGTAGCTATTCTGAGGGAAAGGTATTTTGTATAAGAAATTTATTGAAATTTTAATTAAAACTCAGCTTAATTGATAACATATCCAAAAAATTTAAATCAAGTCACTAGTAACTGGCTTCAAGATGTATTTCCTGAAGTTCTAGTAAGAAGCCATGATCAATGGAGTTCGACAGTGTCTGTTGTGAGGCAGTCACTCACTGATGACAATCGTGGGTGGTCGCTCGAAATCGTGGATTGGTCGAAGTCAGACATCAAAACTGTTGTAAGCTGGTTTAGTGATCTAGATGTTAAGTGTTCGCACGCAAGACGGAAGGTCCTGGATTCGAGTCCCACGTGTGGGACCGTGGATGATTACTGTTGAGGAGTCCCATAATGGGACGAAACGACCGTCCATTACTTCCATGTTTTCCATGTCAGTCTTGTTAAAATCGACTTATGAATTCAACTATTAAATATTTATAAATAGTCATGAAATGAAGGTAAACAGCTATTTACAATTCTGTAGTTTTAAAAGACATATTTATTGTTAATAATTAAAGAATTTAGAAATAGTGTTTATAGGTTTTTTAAAATTAAAATATTAACGAAATATGCCTATTAAGGTTCTCATACAATATCAGGTTACATAATTTATGTCAGTATCGAAATAGTTTTGTATCGAAAGAATGTTACGTTGCCTCAAAACAGAATTGCAAAATTCTTTTAACATAGCAATTTTGGTAGTTATATTGATAGGCCATCATTAAAAACGGGGGACTCGAACCCAGGACCTTTGATCCCGAACGCGAATGCTTGACTTCTAGACCGCTGATCCAGTATCTAAAGATCTTAATGTCTAAATTTTGATATGTAGGCCATATTAATCCTGTCTTTAATTATGCTTTGATGGAGTTTGTGAACAAGAAGTTGGAGAATAATGAAAATTCTTCTTGATCATCCAGAGTATTTTGCAAACTATAATGATTATTATTATACGTTTTCGTACATGCTTAAAGGTAAAATCATGATTAGGGTTGTTAAGAACAAGGATTTCATTTTAACTGTTTTCTTATTTTGATATACGTTAATATATTTCCGGTTTATCAACTATTCAAATATTCTTTCCTTAAACCAGATCTAGTGAGAATAACACTGACCAAAACAATAAGAATAACAAACCTTTCAATCAAGTATTTTCAGTCAAAGAGATTCCAGTTAATTTTGAACACTCATCTACACCAACAGTGACCAACGGCAAGGGGGTAAATGACCAAACTGTCCAATCAGATGATATAAGAACATGTTTAACTGGATTAAATGAATCTATTGATTGGTTTATTCATGAGTCTTGTTTAGTTCCAGTAAATATCTCCGAATATATGGATAGTGGAAAGAAATTAGATGATTACTTTATGAACGATCGTTTCTGGTGTATAAATTCACAAACTAATCAGTCTTCGAATAGTAATGGTACAGATAATAAACGAATTGAAGTCAATAATAATTATGTACAATTGAAATTGAAAGAACTTCATGTAAGTCACTGGTAATAAGTGATCTATTTTTAGAACAGTTTAGTAACAGCATTAAATAATCCATTTAAGTAATAAATAACTGAATTGACTAAAAGGCTATTTTAGGTCATTTACTGTTAAGATTAAGGTCTATTTATTCATATCTTTTTTTTAATAGACGTTAAAAACTGATCATTATTGGTTTGTTAACTGGATCAAATGATGTGAACTGTTTTTACTAAAACATATGTAATTATCTGATCTATCCAAAGATTGATGAAGTGTACTTGATAAGATTATTTATAGTAATATGTGCATGTGTTATTTTCATATTACTTAGAATAAAACAGTAGTAACCTGTTTTTATATGCCATATAAAATGTTTACATATTTTCAAGCAATTAGCCCCTTAGATAAACTTGGATAGGGTAATAAGAAGACGAAGATTATCAGAATTATGTGATATATTAGCTCAACACATTTCGAACAATCAAGTTTGATAAAAGGGCCTAATTAATAGGAATGATCATATTTGGTGGTTATCCTCCAAAATTCATAAATCGATGAGAAGGTCAGAGTATAGTGAGACTTACAATATCTTTGGCAAAAATAGTCTATCTACATCACCTTACCTTTCAGAGGTGAGTCGAATAGTCTTCTGTTAAAATAAAGGCTTGAATTAGTTAACAACAAAACGTACTACGCAACAAAGGCCATTATCAAAGGATAAACAAGGTTCATGCTTCATCAAAAACCTAAGAGGCTTGAAAACGATTGCGTCACATCCCACTGTGTTTACCAGTTTAAATGTGTGTGTGTGGCCTTACATCAATAGGGAGGAGTAATTGTGATCGCCAAATTAAGGTGCCTCAACCTGTACCTAAATGGTTGCAAAAACATATAAAATCAAATGACCCAATAAAAGTAGATGATAAGCATCCATCATCCGATATTGCCAAACAGTTGAAACAGGTCATATGATCGACCTTAACACGGCTTTTCTTGTGTTGTACAAAAGCGTAAAATGGCGTATACTTAGGTTTACTGAAGCCTTAGCCATACGAAAATTCAAAACCTCTTTATGTATTCAAAAACGATTTGTTCTCATCTTAAATCTAACCTGGTAATATTAGCTTATTATTCAGAGTGATTAGGTTTCAAACTGTTTCCATATTATTTATTCATTATCCTTGTCTCCTTTCACCCTCCATTTCTAGTCTAGTTAACCTTTTATTTTTATATATAAATATTCTTAACAAGTACATTACTTGTGATCAGATTGTGGGAGATGTATTGGGTTAATTTATGACAGTTCTGATAATCTTCGTCTTCTTATTACACTATCCAGGTTTACATATTAGAAAATTCACTGTTATATAGTGTATAAAAACAAATATCAGTCTTGGAATTATGACTAAATAGAAAACTAAACTTGTTAATGATGATTGGTTATGAAGAAATAAGTAAATTTGTGAGAGATATATACATGTAATTTGACTTCAAGGAAGTACTGTAATGGAACAACACAATTACTTGGAGTAGTCTCTTAAATTTCACGATATGTTAGCTGACTAAAAGGCTTTGAGATCAAACAATGGACCAAGTTAATGTTTCTAGTTTTATTTGTGAACATCTATGATTAATAGCTAATTTAAATGTTCTTCAAATATATCAATACACCGATCTCTTTAGTCAGAGTTAACCAAGAGTTGTACAAAACCGTAAGCTACAATTGAACAGTTCATGCAAGGATGTTATAAGAAAATAAGGATACTTTTTTTAAAAGGAAGTGACTCGCAAACTATTTTGATAAAACAATTGTCATAAAGATTTTAATGTGGTTAAAAATAAATAAGTATTCTCCATGCGATAGCATTTTATGGTATACTGTTGTTATCAGAACATACACTATAATCGTCATCAGTCTTGTAACCAATGTTCACATTATAACTATTCTCAGGTACTACGTTTATCCATGAATACAAGAAGAGCGATAATGCTAAGTGAAATTTTCTTTACTCATGTGATTGTCAGAGAGCTGTTAAATATATCACTCTCTTGAAATATATCATAACACAGTATTCTATATCGCACTCAAACAGAATAAATTTACCAGAATGGTTTTGTGGAGATTTTAGAAATTTCAATGGTTGAAATCATGAGTCAATTGAAGCTAAACCACCATAGTATGGGGCTCCTCAGCGGTGGGCATCCACGATCCTGCCTCCCGCGATATCCGAACCCATGACCTATCAGTCTGGCGCGCGAGCGCTTAAGCTTTATACGACTGAGCCGGGATTTAACGGTGTTGGATTGGTTGAAGTTAGACATTAACACCGTTGGATCCCGGTTCATTGGTCTAATGGTTAAGCGCTTGCGCGCGGGAATGATAGGCCCTAGGTTCGATTCTCGTGGGGGGGAGCGGGGTCGTGGAGAACAAATTTAATTACATAATTTTGAATATTTGACGTAAACATTTATTATAATGATCAGACCTTCACACGTAGCAGGAACCTTATACGTTGTTTTTGCGTCTTTTTTACAGAATATTGAATGGAAATCAATGGATTGGAGGAATTGTATAGAAATATTTAATGATAAATCCAAGGTATTACTTAAATCAAGTACATTATCAGATCATAGTACAGAATTGACTAAATTAGAATTAGCATGTTCTAAATCTCAAACTATTGTAAATTTCGCTTTTAATTCATTACTAAAATATCGAGAAGTTCTACATACATTTAAAACGGATTTAGCTAAAATTGAAGGATCTATACGACAAATCGAATTAATTAAAAATTCAACTGAAGATCCAGATCAAATTATTCAAGAATTAAGTATAAGTAAATGGTTAAAAATTTTATGTGAACAAACAAAATTTCATAAATCAAAACGTGATGGACTTGCAACTGTAAGTAGTTTATGATTATAAGCTGCCTTTCATATTTCTTCATCTTTTATCGTTTTCGCATAATGTTCATTGGTGATTCACGTATTTGTAACTCATCTAATAAATACAGGTATTCATATTTGCTTTTGAGTCACTATATATATATATATATATATATATATATATATATATATATATATATATATATATATATGTTTGAATGTCAATGACACTTCCGGATTACAAATATCAAAGTAGGTGGAATAGAGTTTGAATCTGAAACTTATTACTGTAAGCAAAGATGGATGATGGCCAGCGTTTCGTCTTATTTAGGATTCGTCAGCTGGACGTGCTTGCATCCCACAGTTTGTGTTTATTGTGTGACTCGAACCTAGTACCGTTCGCATCAAAAGTCATCACGTTATTCACATAGCAAATGAGTCCTGACAATGGTTGCGACTTGTGGCAATATCGAGACAATTCGCACATATGTCGATAAGAGACTGATCAAGTGCAGTCCTAAACATCAATAAAAGATTCAGACAAGCAATATAAAATGAACTAATAACTACTAAGTGAAAACCATTGCTTCACATTTGTGGAAAACGTGCCTTTTATTTCTGAATGTTTTCTTAGTTCGTATATTCTCAAGTACTTCAGAGGGAGGGAAGGAGCATTTGATCCAAAAGTATTAAATTATTAGTCTTATTAATGACATCTTATTACTGCAGCAAATAAAAATTTACTGTGAACAGATAAAATATGCTGTAAGTTGTACAGTTCACGATAGTAGTTCATTCCTAACTATTAAAGACATTGACATTACTTGAATCAATGACTAGGAAATTACCACTATCACAATGTAGTTGACCATTGCTTGTTATTTATTACCATAAAATATTTCCCTTGTAGTCTTAAGTTTCACTGGACAACTTAAGATTCAGAATTATAACAGTATTGATTTCGTACATTTTTATGAATAGAATGCATTAATGTAATTTTCTATTAGGTTTGGATAATTTTAGAATTGTTCATTATATGTAATTAAAGCATCTAATTGTACTGTCAGTATATTTGGTCAGAAACTATAAAAACAGACAATTTTATTAATGGATATTTCATATTCCAGAAATCCTATATCATAAAGACAAACTACCCTTAGATTAAATCAGTACTAAAATAATCATTCCCGGTAAAACATATAATTTAAAAGACTGTATTGATATGCCATGATGAAATTTTATCTTAATCACGATGATGGAAGATGGTTTAAGAAACGGAAGAAAATAGTCACTGCACATAATGCAAGTGGTATGTTCTTAGTACTTGTATGACATGCTCTTAATAGCATGTGGGTCGTGACTGATAGTACAATCTAGGACGTGTGTTTTGTCCTGATTGTGACTTTTCAGCTGAATGTGTTGGGATTCCAGTGTTGATATTCATTCTAAGATTCAAACCCAGTATGTGAACGAGTTATCCACTGATCGTGCATCCAGATAACTTATTCAATGAGTATGGCATTTTATGTTATTGGCAAGAAACACAGACGGCATCGTGAATCCTACTGTTAGATACAATCAACATATTCTGAAATGATTTACAATAATGATTACACCAAGGCTATCCACTCAAGATGCAAATATTTTAATTAGTTGAACATCAACTCCTACAAACAGTGTACCTTAAAAATGTTTTGATTTATTCTATTCAAATTTTTTTTAAATAAATTTAATTTTCAGAATGAATGTATCAAAGAATTAGATCCTCAATATGGTAAATTAGGTATACAATTAGTCTTACTTGGCAATCTTTGGAACACTGCACAAAATCATTTATGTGAGTTAAATCAAAAGGTTTATAATTCAATGGAATTTACATATTCTGCATCAATTCAAAATTATGTTCAAGATATATTAGATGAATGGGATCATTTAAGCAAAACCTTACAATTACCATCAGCATCATCTGAATTCATCTCTACGACAATACCGATGACAGAAAATGTAAGCATCATCTACTTATTTCGATTTTCTTATAAAGTTGGGGGGACATGTGAGGATGAGAGGATATTTATTGCTAATTTTTCAAACAATGGTTACTACATGTTTCTAAAAGGACAAATTTGATTTGATGTACAGACAAGATTAAAAAATGTATATGTTTGCTGTCGCTATTCTTTCAAGGTTACTGTATTTCAGGAAATCTTTGGGGGCAGTATTTTAATTCTTCATATTTTAGAATAAAGAATGTTGAATTACATTAGGTATAATTCAATAGGTGAATTTTTGAATGTTAGATGGTTGGAGGTAATTAAAAGGAAGCTCTGGATCTAGTTACCTTGTAGTTAAACGGTTTGTTACTAAACTCTTCAGTTAATAAAACTAGACAGCAGTTACAAGTTCTACCATGATTTTCAATTTCAGTAGGTTTGAGATGAACCTTATTAACTATTGCCAACTAGCATGACATATAAACTCAGTATCGTTTGCAAAATTTTGTAACTATTTAAGATTAAGTTATTTAGCTAAGTAACCTCACAACAACTTAGTCAATAGAAATGGTTCACCACTTAAAACTACATGACAACTAATACTAAGTCTTATTGGTTCAAATATTGTCCATAAGTGGGGTCATAAGAACATTCTTATGTATGAGATCTATTTTAGAAGGTTGTTGGCCATAAATCGTGACTCTTTGTTATTCTATGCAGTATGCATGATCAATCAAATGCTCTCTAAGATAATTTAATTTCATGACATTGAAGAAAATTAACTTGAGCATGCATTCGACCGACAGTATTTAAAAATAATAACTCCATGGTGAATCAGTAGTTGAACACTGAATGGATTAACTAAAATGTCATAAAAATCTGATCACATAGTCGACTCTTGTATTTAAAGTGAATAGATTTTAGACGACAAAATAATCGAATAACACTAGACTGAATAAACAAGTATTTATACGGAAATCAAAATTATTGGTCAACTTCAAAATGCTCACATAAAGTAGTACAACCATGGATTATTCACAGTTAGTGAATAACTAACTAACGATAGAAGATTAATTCTTTAAAGTGCTTAATAACCGTTAAAATTAAGGGTGTTGTAACAAGTAAAATAAATTTTCGGGATGCTAATTTTCTCATACTGTACAGGTTCGTGATTAACCAGAAGATATTTTTCGTACCATGGGAGCATGCAAGCTAACGTGATTGCGAAGCATTGACAAAGTAAATAATCAAGTCGATTACCCGGGAGCTCACACATTTTACTTACATTTAATAAAGAAAACAATGGACAATAATTAACAATAATACAAGCCCCAGATTAAAACAGTCTAGAAATAGAAACTAGAACCAAATATTTTAACCTGCTACATAGGCATCTGCCATGTGACTTAAGACTATTTCCCAGATAAAAATCAGATGATCGATATCCATGATAGATGTTTTTACTCATTAATATTTAAAGTTTCTTACTAGATAAATTCTTTATGTATTTTCCTGGATTGGTAGGGAAGGCCACATGGTTTTGTTCTTTTACAAGTGTTTTCGTTAATGTCTTCAAGACTTCATGACTGGTTTTAGACTGAACATCGCGAATGAAATTAATGAGTTTAATTCGACATACCATATTTAAATCCATAACAATTTTGTCATAACCAAGGGATTCTATTTTATGTTCAGAGATAAGTTCCTTGGTGCATGCAATATGGGATTTTGTGATACGTTGAAGATTTTTTAAGGAAGGAGGTATTTTACAAGCACGGACAGCTTTAATAATCTGACGAGGAAAGAAGCCATCATTAAAGCAACGTAACAAAAACTTTAATCTTGTTGTTTCTCTCGATATCCTGCAACGAACTGTCACCAACTTATTAAGTGACTTGAAAATGTGAACAGGGAGACGGCTTTTCAAAAATTTCATGCAATTAGATCTCTTTATGAATTCATAAAGGGATCTAATTGCATGAAATATTTAAAGTACATGACCAAGTCAGCTTACAAATAGTTTGTTAAAATATCCTCAAACTTTACTACAGATAAGATTTTTTTTAAAGAAATAAATGAATAATATGCAAAGGAACTAATTTCTTTACTTAATGAGAACTGTAAGATTATCTTTCTCAATGATAATAAATATATTACAATTTATGTGTATATGATAATATTTTGTTTCTCGTTGTTATAAATAATGAAATGATACCTCGACCAATTAAATATTTCGAGTGATTTTGTATTTATATCTATATATTATAGTTGTAATTTGTAAATGTATAAACGATTAAGAAATTCTTCTAATATATGTGAAATCTAAGCGAATTAAATAAACTGAAGACTAACATACAACAACACTACAATTTTGACAATCCATTGTCGATTGAAGAGAGTGAGATAATATTTCAGAAGATTTTTACGCTTCAAACTAATAATAATTAAGTAAACATATTATATATACATGTATATAGTAAATAATAGCCAATAAAATTGGTTAGAATTATGTGACCGAAAGACAATCATGACGTTTATCCAGAATTTTCATATGAATGATAGGGGTTAGAAATCAATGATACATTTTACAGAAATACACTAATAACAGATAGGAGAACTTACAATAATATTGATTTTGGTTAGTTGTTACAATTATCTGATTTGATAAATAAAACACTTGAAATTGTCGTGTTTCTTTAAAACTGTAAAATTTGAAGGTTGGTGAAATGTTTATAAATAGTTTATTTCAATATAAATTTTTTTTCTCCGTACATAACAGTGATTAATTTGTTGAAAATAATTAATGATTCGTTGAAACAATATGATCACAATCAAAAAATTAATAATCTCCACAACCCCTATATTGATAATTAACATGTGCTCACTAGTGACTAGCTTCGTGAGCGAATTATCGTACTTCTAATGAAACGCCGTGACCAGTGGAGCTAATCCATGTTGGGTAGAAACAGGTATCTACCTCAATACAATGGAAGATGGTCACGCAATTTCTAGTAGTTAGGCGTTCGAATCTCGCGGGGAGGGGATCGTGGATGCGCACTGCTGAGTCCCACAGTAGGACGAAACGGCAGTCCAGTGCTTCCAGGTTTCCAGCGGTGGTCTAACATCAATCAGTTCATAATCCCAATGTAAAACTTAATAATTTCTACAACCCCTATACTGATTTAGGTAGTTATAAATTGTATAATTCAAATATTATAAAAGAGTACTTACAGGGTAGACAAATATGGAAAGTATTTAAATGACCTTCATTATAAAATGTTTCCAAAAATAAATCACTAGTTCATAATACAATGAAAATTTTGAAACATTTTCAGTAATTCAACAGTAAATCTACATTATTTGAAATTGTTTTTAACATATTTTTCCGGTAGTATTTTTTGAGTTAATATTATACACTCAACTAACGAGTCTTAAACAGGACGAAACGCGCGTCCTGGATTCCACTACTAGCCACCATTCAACTTTGTTTGTTCATTACATGTTTATTCAACGATCTTGCCCCCCGCGAGATTCGAACCCAGGACCTATCAGTTTCGCGCCGAGCGCTTAACCAACTAGACCACTGAGCCGGCATCCAACGGTGTTAATGTCTAACTTCAACCAATCCACGAATTTGCGCCACCACACACCATTGTCTTCATTGAGCTGATATCTCGCAACAAACCTGGTTGAACTTCACTGGTAACGGCTTCTCATCAGAACTCCAGGAGTATCTCCTGATGTCAGTCACTAGTGAGCAGTTGATTATTATCAGAATGGGTTTTGTGGAGATGCGAACTACTGAGGAGTCGCATACTAGGACGAAACGGCCGTCCAGTGCTTCCAAGTTTTCCATGGTGATCTAGCTTCAACTGATTCATGATTTCAACCTGTGTTTATCTTATTATCGATCTTTCCTATATTCGAAAACAAATTTACTATACTTATAACTTACATGAAATTATGAACCGATCAATGTTAGACCATCGCTAAAAACATGGAAGCAATGGATGAACGTTTCATCCTGGCACAATGCTTCTCAGAAGTGCGCATCCACGATCCCACATGGGGATTCGAACCCAGGAGCTCTCATGAGAACTGAATTCAACCAATCCATGCTCGTTCAGTGCTTCCAGGTTTTCAATGGTGATCTAACAATAATCGCTTCATGTTTTTAATGAAAGTCAACAATCTTCACAACCTCGAACTAAAACCTTATCATTTACTTCGTTCGCGTATGTAATATACATTGATTTTACAATAGATAAGCAAAATTTGGATAACTGAATGACAGTGAATATTCCCATTTTGGAGTTTAGTAGAAAGTTTTCTCATCATGTCTTCACATTAATACTTATATCATTTATAACAATGAAATTATACTCATCGAGTAGTTGCGTTGAGTAATAATCATATTATGTCACATTGATTACAAAATAAAAATGAGTGATTGAAAGAAAGAGGATTATAATAATCAAACATTTGCTACACTGCTCAATATATTTAAAAGAAATTAGACAATTATTTGGATATTTTTGCAGAAAGGGATTTAATCAAAGTTCATCTGTAAACTCACTCCTATACCTATGACCAAAGTAATGACTGGTTGCATAAACGTCTTTTGAATGCAAAAGTTTGATTTGTTAATAGAGGTACCGATAGCTTGAGCAACAGACGAACTCGTAAACTATGTGGTAAATTTAATGGAATATTGTGAATAACTTTGAAAGCTTTACTCAAGTCAACTTGATATCCTGTGTTTACCAAGTGAGCGGGAATAGAACTCTTAATCACTCTTATTAGTCCATTGCTCAATCAAGACAAACAGTGTTCTGCTATGTGATGATGGACTTGCCGAGTTTCATGCCCTATATAACTGGCTCCACATGAGCAGGTGAATTGATAAATACATATGAATATGGCGAATTTAGAGATTCGGTCTTTATTGATGGTCTTTATTATCGGAGGTTGTAGAAAACTACATTCATTTTGGCTGCAGTAAATGTTTTCAGCATCACATTTTCCAACTCTTGACTTACAATTTCCTCGATAGCATCATTTTATGGTTGTGATTTTAAGAACAGTGCTTTCTTCGGATAGGTAGATACATTTTTTCTTCTCAGGACAATGTGTTGGTTGATGAATTTCGTTGGGTGTCCATTCCTACTAAGTAGGTTGCCAATATTACTCACTTCATTTACAATAGTGTCATCAGGGAAAATCATTCTAGCACGATGTTTCAGGTTGTTTACTGAGTTTCTTTTGTATCTGATTGGTACAGCACTATAGAAATGAGCATACTGTTCAACTGCAGACTTTCTATGCATCCTTCTTTTTAATGTTCCATCCAATTTTCTTGTTTGTCGGACATCTACTACGCTGTTCTTCCTAAAGTGTAGAAGTAATGGATGGATGAATGTTATTAAATGTATGAAGTAAATTATTCTTTCCATGTTCTTTTTCTAATACTATAAAAGTATCATCTATGCAGCGACAGCAAGATGTTAGATGGCTGATTGTGTATCTAGGTGGTCCATTTTCCAGTTTTACGAGTAAAAAGTTTACCAGGAGAGGGTTCAGTGGTGACCCCATGACCAAACTATCTATTGTTGAATCGAGAGTGAACATTCATCGTACATCTAAGAATTGACTGTTGTAATGAAATTATCACTAGAAAAATCATGTACATACAGAGTTAGATGCGTTGTCAGAAGGCCTTAAGTTTTCCAAAAGAAGTTTGTGCAACTAACCACTACCTTGACCATCGGTATGAGTGAGTTTTCAGCTAAACTTTGATTAAATCCTTTTCTGCAAAAATACTCAGTTCTCTAATTTCTTCCGTTTTTGTATTTCTATATGTTTTTTTTCTAAATATATTATAGTGTAGCAACTTTCTGATTTTTTTAAGCAATTACTTTGATTATTATAATCATCTTTTTTTCAATTACTCAATATTATTTTATTAAACGATAAGACAATCGATTTTTATCAGAAGGGTTTTGTGGAGATTTTAGGAACTTTAATAGTTGAAATCATGAGTCAATTGAAGCTAGACTACCATGGAAAGCCAGTAACCACCGGACAGCCGTTTCGTCCTAGTATGGGACTCCTCAGCAGTGCGCATCCACGATCCCGCCCCCTGCGAGATTTGATGAGTTGTAAAATGTGACAACTACACTACTAAGTAGAATCAATATTTTGAATATGATAAGATTGATTTAACTAAACTTTTTATCAAATAATGTTTTAATGATCTTATTCCATGCATTCATTAGTTAATCTACTCTTGAATAAAACTATTCTTATATTATCATTCATTAGTAAAAGTTCCTAAGAGAGATTAAAATCTTTTTTATTTGAATTGGTATTATGAATTTATTTATACAATTCATATTTCGAAATGATAGAGAAGTTTTGTAGGTGGATGATTCTGATGGAGTTTTGTCATGGAGCTTTCGTCGTTCTTCTGAGCGACATCACCACAAACTCCAAGTTCTATGCTGATGATGTCGCTCGGAAAAAAGATGGAAGCTCCACGATCAAACCATCTAGCTCAGAGGACGAAACTCCATCAAAATTCACATTTCTTTTTCTAAATAAATTATTACTGTTTTTCATGCTGATTATTTCACACATCTAACGAATTTCCTAATTTCCTTTTCTTTTGCATGATTTAATCATTTCATTTATTCACTGGATACGTTTACAAAACAAACCAATAATTACTACCAGAAAATTTTTCTGAATCATAAACCGATATTAGAGAATACAGTTGGAAGTCAAACAATGAAAACTATAAATGAATCTGTTTCTTCCTCAGCAATAAATACAAGTCAAATGAATGAATGTTACGCGACTAATGCTACAAAAACAATAGATACCTTGGAATCACCACCAATAACTGCAGTTATTTCTAGTCCATCTGAAACCACATCTACAGTATCAACTGTAGTATGTCATAAATCTATATCACCTATATTGAACCGTATGCGTAATGAAATACAACAATTAACTCGTTGGTTAACTACAATCAGAAATATACTTGAAACTAGTCAAGCAAAACTTGGTGATCGATTTGATCAAGATACTGAAAGTCAACAATTACAAGTAAATAAAAATACAACATTAGTTTTTACTTGAATTTTTATTTATTTGACTAATAATTCAATACATTATAGTTTAAGCGAAATTCAGTTTGTAACAATTTCTCGACATGGTTTACATAGAACTGAATGTAATTGGTTTTAGAAGCGAGATTAGAATGTTTATAAATTAGGTCACATTCATGACATAAACTAACAAATCAATCTAGTAAAAAAGTGATTTTCATCATGAGATGACGTCTATTGAAAAGGTACCAAAGGCCAAGGAGCACCGGATAAAATTTTCAGTTTAATTAGTAATTTGTTAGCTATTAGCGATCGAAACGTCTTACCGAATCCAACCTATGAGATTTTTATTTTGTGCTATTGGCCAGTCATTTATTAGGGACTAATGTTATGTTTGCCTGGTCCATTAGTGCTGATTGAATTCTGTAGATCATAATGTAACATAATCACTAGTGTTATTGACTTGACGCCGTATGTGCTGTATTGAAATGCTATGTGGTTGAATGCAGTTGGCAAAAACCCCTTGATCAATGTTTTCTGCCAGATGACACTTGTCAGATGACGAGTTATGTGACGATATGCTTAATTACTATTATTATCGTAATATTCATTTGTTAAGTACCGAATTAACAGATATCTGGTCTGTACATTAATTAATATAATTAGAAAAAAGTGATGTGTATTTTTCGTTAATTTAAGATTATCATTTCTAATCTCTCAAGTGACATCAGTCACCTCAAGGTTGCTGGTACACTTTGCTGGCGAGTGTCTAATAAAATGAAACTTATTTCCAGGAATTTCTCTCGATTACGTATGATCAACTAACACGTAACCATTGAACTAATAAGTAGGCTTACAATGATCCTCACATTTTATTATGATCAGTTAGCGATATTGGTTGTTCTTTTTACAATGTTCATCGATAGATCACTTTCTTACTCTGGGCATAGTTGACTACATTCGTAACAGCTTGTTCCCAAAAATTTGAGAAATCTGTTTGCAAGTTTATAATATTACTGATAACCCTATTTATCTGCATCATCATTTAAATTTGCTGGAGACGGATATAACTATATAGTTTAATTATCAAATGACTTACGATATAAACATTAGATTTCAAATGATATGAACAATTAAAATTCCATGATACTAATTAATAGTCATCCCATTTGAATCATCAATAGAATCAAATCAGTAATGTGTACTTAAACAAAAAATAATAATCGGTTTAGTAGTTGTGGAGATTGTTAAGTTTTTGATTGAGATCATGAACCGATTGATGTTAGACCGTCATTGAAAACCTGGAAGCACTGGACGGCCTCATTCAAAAACTTAATAATCTCCACAACTCACTAGTGACTAGCTTCGTGAGGGAATTATCGTACTTCTGATGAAACGTCGTGACCAGTGGAGCTAATCCGTGTTGGGTAGAAACAGGTATCTACCTCAATAAAATGGAAGATGGTCACGCAATTTCGTAGATTGGTTGATGTTAGACACTAACACCATTGGATGGCGGCTCAGTCGTCCAGTAGGTTAAGCGTTCGCGCGCGAGACTGATGGCGGGATCGTGGATGCGCACTGCTGAGTCCCACAATAGGACGAAACGACCGTTCAGTGCTTCCAGGTTTCCAGAGGTGGTCTAACATCAATCGGTTCATGATCTCAATAAAAAAAATTACTCTGAATTCATCCGTTCAAAATAAAATTATTTCATTATGATGTTCAATAAATCTGATTTGAATAATTATTTAACATATTATTGATATTCAGTAGTATTTTTTTTATCTAACCGAATATATAGAAGTTTATTTTCATCATTTTTCATTATATAATTAATTATTTACATATTAAATATGTAAAAGTATATCAGTAATAAATAATATAAATATTTAAATATTTTTGAATATATCGTTTGTTATTCTTTTGCCGCTATATATTTATATAGATTGCTCATAGAGTATATATAAATTAAACAATATAGAAATATCGAATACATTCTGTTTGGCAATTTATTAAAAGGAGTGAATGTTTAAAAAATAAATCATTATTATATGTTGAAAGGAAATAGTCATCAGTCTATTATAATATTATTTAATGTTTATCATTATTTTTATTGTTACTATGGGAATTAATCGTTAAAAGCCTTTAGTGAACAACTTTATGTCAATGTAAATATCATGTAACTTTTGTTTACTCTAATGTAGAACCTGATATCAATAATAAATATATTTCTGATTAAGTTATAAATAAAATAAGAATATAAAATGTGGTAAATTATATTTGAATCTAATATTAATTTTAATGATACTGTACTCTTGATGAAATTTTAAAGTTCCAGTTTTGATTCTGTATAGTATAAGCTGTTAAGAATTGAAATAAAAAATAATGTTACACTGTTAGCTAATTATTCATAGTTCTTCAAATGATGTTAATTTGTGATGAAAATTACTTTCATATTTTGAAACATTACTGCATATTATATAAATATTGATGTTTAGTAAACTACAATTCTTTATTTTGTAGATAAAAATAATTAAATTCAATAGATTTTGTACATCCTTCGTATAGTTTGCCATCAACAGTATAGTTCAAATAGCCTAGGATAAATGAACAATTCACTCTGTATGCATGAATGATAATCAACTTCTTACTGAACCATTAAATGTTAAAATTATGCTATAATTTAAACTACTGATTTGTTATCATAAGTAGTCTCAATTTATTTATATTAATGAATATTGTATACTGTAAATCGTGACAATGTAGGTACTATTTCAAACAAGTGTATTCATTCAGAAACTAATAAGTACTCATCAGTGACTAGATTCGTGAGGGAATTATCGGAGTCCTTGTGAGAGTCCGTGACCAGTGGAGCTAATCCGTGTTGGGTAGAGACAGGTATCTACCTCAATACAATAGAAGATGGTCACGCAATTCCGTGTATTAGTTGAAGTTAGACATTACCACCGTTGGATGCAGGCTAAGTGGTCTAAGGGTTAAGCATTCGCATGCGAGACTGAAGGTCCTGTGTTGGAATCTCGGGGGGGGGGGGGGCCGCATCGTGGATACGCACTGCTGAGGAGTCCCACAATAGGATGAAGCGGTTGTCCAGTGCTTTGAGGTTTCCAACGGTGGTCCATCATCAATCGGTTCATGATCTCAATTAAAAACTTACTAATCTCCACAACCTCACGCTTATATTTTGCATTAATTAAATCAAGTATTTTTATTGCTAAATAAAATACCGATCTGAAGTTTAACCAATAATTTAGGTAAATAAATACCATAATTCATCATATTTTCGTGCTACAGTTTCATTCATCTTACATTGATAAAGAAACAGACAGTATCGATCAATAGTATTTTCTGTCGACTGGTTTTGTGACAGAACTATGCATGAATAACTGTTTCATATGTAAAAGGGAGAAAACTTCAATTTGCAAAATAGCAACACGAAAAAATGTTTCAGATGTTTCATCCTATTTAGGACTCATCGTCTGGATGTACTTTTACCCCAAAATTGACTCGAACCTACCTAATAAATGTCTAAAATTTAACTTTTCATTTAGTTGGTAACAATGATCAATCTTTTTTGTTTATGTATCGGAAAAGTATGCTTTTTCTCACATATGATTACATTGTGTTTCTCAACTTTATGTAAATCTTAATATGATATTTGTCCATCGAATTTATTTATTTAAATACTTTATTATTTAACTGTTACACATTGTTTTCATTTAATTACATAATTGTTCAACTTAGTCTTTACTACACCATACATAACTGATAATAACTAACAAATTTATGCAATATAAACCAGATGATTATCTTTGCTCAACTTCAATTCAAAGAAAATGAAATGATGTACATGCAAAATTTTCTATTAAATTTACAGTTAAGATTTACTATTAAGATCTTTTTTTCTACATATTTTATAGCAAATTAAACAAGCTATAACTGATGGGATTTTGTCTGAAAAATTGGTGGTCTATCATCCAGCTACTATACAGCTTAAGATAAAAGTAAGTTAGATAGATGATTTTTTTCTTTTCTCTTTTATTTGTATTATTAATTATACTGTGGTGTGTGCTACTTATATTGACATAAGTAGTATATGATGTTAGTCAGGAACAGAATGTCTGGTAGCAGAGAGACAAGATAATCGAACAGTAAAGAATGGAAACAATGCAATTTGTATAAAAATGCAAGAACAATGAAGTCTGAGTCGTTTTGAGACAATTGGTGGACATTTTGCAAATTAAGCATTTACTTTATGATGGTTAGATTTTATTAACAAGTCCTGTAATTTTGCATCAAATATATATCGGATTGTCCCCACTGGTATTTTATTCGCTACAATATTACTACTATGAAATAGCGTAGCATTGTATATTTTGAAGTTTCTAGGTGATTTGTGGTGGATTTGAGTTACATAATAATTGTCAGGACTACAAATAAATTTACTGTATTTTTTTTATTTAAGAAAAAAAATTTACAGAGAAAACATAATAATAATTAGACTTTATTGAAATCGTAAACCAAACTGAGCAGGGATATAATGGTTTTTCACTGTCTTTATTGGGTAAATTCCTCACACCTGATACGGTTGAACCACACTGGTCTAGGTTTCTCACTAAAACTCCGAGAATTACCTCTGAAAACTAGTCATTAGTAAGTCGATAATAACATTATCTTGTGCATTGGTTGAAGTTAAGCAATAATACCATTAAACATCGGTTCAGTAATCTAGAGGTTAGGCGTCCACGCACAAGACTGAGGGACCTTAATTGAAAATCTAAATTTTTTATACCTTTTATAAGGTTCATCATCATAAAAGTATGATTGTTTCTCTTTTCATTCTTATTGTGTTTCCGGCTTATCGATTAAACTGACAATTTTCATTTTTTTTTTCAAAAAAAAACAACCAATTCCATTAACTCTTCGTCAATGAATTCTGTATTTTTACTAAAATTATAGCAGTCCGCAAAACTGTTCTTTTTAGTATCATAGAATATTGACTTTATTTTATATGAAAACAATTACGTAGATGAGATAAACAACCTGATTAGTATTAAAATTTTGACTACTTAAAAGCAAAAAGAAATATGATGTGGTAGAAAAAAATATATAAATTTCTAATTTTCTCATTTCCTGAGTTTAAGAAAAACTATTTTCTTCTGTAATTTTTTTTGAATAGAATGGTCTGTTTCTTATTTATTTTCTTCATTTCATATAAGTGGAGATAAAATAGAGTAAAATCTTTGACTCTGTTTTATTCTATTGTTAGCAATACGAATTGTTCTAAGTTAGTAAACTATTGAGAAACTGGAAACATTGAATAATTCTTTCATCTTATTGTTTGATATTATAGTAACACGCATTAGTGACACAACAGAGGATCCAACTTGAGATGTTTATTTCTCACAGAAATTCTTTAGTCTTCAGATCAATAAGCCAGTATCCACATGTTTACACGTTTCACTCCAATCAATCTGTGGCATTGTGTAGCCATATTCCAATATCATCGGTGAGTAATTGCATCAACCTCCAAATGGTTGGAATTCCCTAGACATGACTTCTAATGGGAACTGGGCTTAGTGATTCTTTAAATAAATCATCAGTGAGAACATGATTATGATTGATGTAGAACGTTTGTGAAAATTGGTGAAGTGGGATCCTGTGGAATTTAAATCATTAGATACCCGCTGATGGTTTAAACGTTAATACATTCTTGTGAGACCGGAAGATCCTAAGTTCGATCCTCTGTGGTGTCATCAATACGTACTACTATGAACAAGACAGCTATCCAGTGTTTCCAGTTTCTTATTGATTGCCTAATTAACATCGTTCCGTAATGTAAGCCATAAAACCTAAAAATCTCCATCAAACCCCTACATTTAGCTATGTTATCAAAATCTTTACCTTCTACTTATGGTTGAAAGCCGTATCTAGAGAAATTCTATCAGAACAGATTAGTCACAATGATTGAATATTGAATAAATCATTTTTATTGTAGTATGATGAATGGTGTTTTTATACACTAGATTCTGTTTAACGTTACGTTTCTAAAAGAAATTGCTTAGGTTATCTGTTTCTAGTTTAGTCAAAATATAATCTCAATATCTTGAATACCATCAAATAAGACGATGTTTTAAATATAACTGAAGTGTAAATATCACTTTATTCTGTTATTTAAGTCAATATAGTTTCACAATGGTAATCTACAAGTCAGATATTTTAATTCTACCAGAAAAAATCATACGTTCATTTACATTCAATTTTTAGTTCTATATCAAAATATAACACTACTGATCTTTCATAATGATCACTTTTATAAGAAATGATTTGGTGAAATGAAGGGAAACAAGTGAATGGAACAGTGTTTTTTCTAGCTGTTGTTTATTGCATTTGAAGACTCTACTATGTTTTTACTTATAAGTGCATATATATGTTTGGTTTGGAAAAATTTAAGTCAACTAAATTGAAAAAACAGAGGAATACTCGTCAATGACAATAGCCTGAAGTAATGTTTTATCTCAAAGGTGTAGAAGTTGGAAAAACGTGAATTAATGGATTTGTAATTAAGGACCAAATAATTTAATACTAATTTTAGGTGAGGAAGACCTTGGATGCAATACAAAATAGGATTGTCTATGTGCATACTGAAGATGGATTCTAAAAATCAAACAATACAATAGTTCTTAATATTGTTTAGTCAGTGTTAGTGATGAAGCACTTAAAAAAACTGCTAACATAAATATAAATACAGTCAAATAAAATTAGAATTCACAAAAGTGTTCAATGTTTAGGAACACATAATATTATAACTATGCAATTTATTTACAGAGGTTGGAATTGATCAGTTCTCTGTCTGCCATCTACACTCAACTAAGAATAAACGGGATTCCTGGATTCTACAGCTAGTTACAATACAAATGTTGTAAAATTGATGATTTTATACTGATACTAAATTTTTAGAGACAGTCAACAGAAAGCGCTCTTCTCAGGCTTCGTACTAGTTGGTGTACTTCAGCAAAGTATGACCACAACCCATGGGGAAACAGTGTATTCGTAAAAAATTAGAACAAGCATCACTCTGTGTCGTAATGAAAGACATTTTCACTCAGTTATTTTGGCCACAACTGAAGTCATGTACCACTAATGATTAGACAATATAACACTGATTACCATTGAGTTGCCAGTAGCTATATATATCTCGGTTCTGTAGGAGAGTGGTGAAGGAAACAAAAGCTCAGTAGTAAAGTTTCCGACAGTAATATTGGGAGGCACGGGTCCCAACCAGTGACTGAACAAATCTTTTGCTGATGACGGTCAAGTGCTATAAATCCTAGATCTACAGTTGTAAGCTTATCCAATCTAACTAATGAACGTCAAACTGTGCCCGCCAAGATGTTACGTTATCCAGTTAGTGACTATACTGAGACTACATATGTTACGTAATTAATACTAGGGACTAGATAATTGAACACTGGTTATTATTAAGTGGCCAAACAACGTTCTCAATGTTCGAACAATAAGTTCTTTTTTGGTCGGTTGGTAATAACATCTGAAACCTAAGTATCAGTATTTGTTTTGAAATTTAAACTCATTCAACTAGATAGGATTTTATGTTTTAGCTGATGTTGGAGTTATCTTTCTTAACATACAGTAATTAAGTAAACCCAAGAAATAGTCGAAATTTCTTACTGTGCAAATTAGGGTAATTTATTAAAACAAACATAATGTCTAGTTACAATAGACGAATCGATTTTTATAACTGGTTGGTTATGACTATATTTGATTATTCCTATAGAACTCATAACTTTGTTTATAGCGAGTACTATGTTAAAAACGCAAGTGAATTCATTCGTTTGAAGAACAGTTAAGATAATTTAACTGGGTTTTTCATCTCGAAATTAAAAAAAAACAACGAAGAAAACATAACTAGCAAACAGACAATCAATAACTGCTTATGTTTGATCTTAAAAATATATTTAAATAACCATTTTTCTGTTTTCTTTCTCTTCTATCTTTCCCTCCATGTCTTGCACTGTCATTTTTCTATCGAAATATATCTTAATTTTATGTTAAAATAATCCTGAGATTGAATAAATTCTGCATAATTTCCTACCTGTCTATAAATATACATAATACATAACTTAAACTAATTTAAAAGAAATTATCGTTAGCAATCCATGATCTACACCGACAGTACTTTATAGTATGTAATTCAAGTTTTTGCCTAATGGTTATAGGTTTTAAAAACAAGATAAAAAAACCCATGAGAAATCATTCAATGTTGATGAAAAAATTAAGTGTGCATTATACATTTCCATTAGTAAAAAAACGTTAAAACAAATTAACAGGGCTTTTCTTTTATTCATTTGGTGTTGTTTTACTTTTATCTTCCCATTATTATTTAGGACTTCAGTTGATCAGTCTAATGTTGATATTGACAGATAATTCCCATTTAAACATTAAAATTAAAACACAAATTTCAGCGAAGGGATCTCTTTTCAACGAATTTCTTATCAAGCTGTACAATCGTATATATATGAAATTTTGTTTTTGTAAAAGTACTAATTCCGTGAGGAAATGCGGACACAGTTAATATAAAGGTTATAATACTAGATTACGTAATATGAATAATAACAATAACAATAGATTTAGTGATTATAATAAGATGATTAAAATGATTAAAATGTTTTTGATATAATAATTAAAGGTCATAGAGGTGTACAAAAATAAACTGATATGATGAGCGTTCATGAATAAAACAATGAGAATATAAAACATAAGTAAAGGGGGAATGCAGTAATAATAATAATAATAATAATAACATTAATAGTAGGATAATCAAACTAATTAAGGCCAAGGTAACGATAACGATAAGACGTACTTCTTTTGTACGCATAGTTCTGGTTTAAGCTCCTGGATGGCAAGAGCTTCGGCTATTTTTAAAAGCTGGATACGAAAAAATCTGGGTAGATTTGAACGAATCATATAAACAACCTTAAAGTCAATTTGTGGATCGGTTGAATGGTTATAGTCGATTAGGTGTTCAAGTATAGAATTCCTAACTGCTTTCCTTTCACCCTTATGTTGATATATGTACATCCTGTGCGGATTGCCATGATATAGCCTTAAGTCACAAGCATTTTAAGCAAAGATGGATAGTGGCATTCCTCTTTTGTCATTTCTTTTTTCCCTAAATTCTCAAATTTAGTTTAATACATGAATATTGAATTATTTATTTAAGGATTTACTAAAAACGTATACGGTAGACCGAATGTAAATGAAGCATATAAAATCTTGTGACTTTATGTCCCGCTTTTTATCACATGATTTATCCACTAATCAGAATACGACTTATACAATCCTAGCACTGTGCCAAACCAATGACGTTTGACCGGTATGAGCAGCCTAGCGTCCTTATTGGTACTATGTTCGCCTAGCCCATCCAGCTGAGTCAAAAACACTAATTCAAGCTTTTACTATGCGAATCGAATAATTTATTTCAGACATACTGGGTTTATATATCAACCAAACAGACCGCAACGCACCATAAAATAGGAAATAACATTCATACACAATAAAGCCAAAATGTGGCTGTGAATGTAGGACGAAGTAGTCAATAAATTGAACATAGCTTAAGAACAGCAAATCGTACAATAATAAATTATAATTCAAAATAAAGCTTATAATAAGGGAAATATAGATATATACAATCTAGTTACTGAATAGTTATACCATAAGAGTATATAGATAATATTAGTCCATTGATAGGTCTCAGGCGTTACTCGGAATTCATTCTTCACTAGGATATAACACAAATTACACTACGTGTTCAGAAAGTATTCCTTCATGTTGGTTATTTTAAATGTGGTAAATTTGAAATAAAGGAATTTAAAATTGATTGTTTTTTTTTATAAATGTATGTTGAATTATTGTAGGTAAAATTGTTTATGAGAATAGCATTTAACAAGGGATCATATCTATTCATTGATGTATTGCTCATACTGTATTTAGGGGAAGAAAACATATATTGTAGTACAAAGTATAGTATAGAATAAAATTTCTATAACAGACAATCAAATGACATCAAGAATGGTAACTAAAAGTCATTAAATTCATCAAATTTCTTTAGTTCTACAAATATTGTACATCATTGTCCATTAAGATCTACCCTTAAAATAGTTAAAAATAGTTTATCTATTTAGATAGACTAATAAAATGATACTATTCTATCGTATTTATTTTAAGTAGTTCAGGTCATTTATATGGATGTTTGGTCACATATCTAATTTACATTCTAATCAGTTTGGAAAGTAATAGACTCATTTTTCAGTGCTTTATGATAAACTTTGTAAATATATTCTATCATCTTGAAAAAAAAGTGAATTTTCATAACCACGGTATATTTATCAAATAATCAGGATAAAAATATGTTATTGGTCATTGTTTCAATAAATAAAATCTATGACAATGTGTGATTATCCTCAAGCATTGTTTTATTGTTTTCTTATACCATAATCCCCTGTTAGAAAATGAGAATATTTAACTTTTCTAACCTAATTAAGAAAAAAATGTAATGTTGTTTTGCATATAGTTTCCTAGTGGAGATGGTTATCATACTGATCTATTTCTGAAAATTTTTAGTCCGTATAAATTATTTACTTATACCTAGTACGAAACTTTGCGGTTTGACTCATCATATGATCGTATATGCTATAAAATTCATTCGTTAAATTTCTAAAGTGGTTATCAAAATGATAAACTATGCTTTGTGCATGACTGTATATATCAGTCAACGTGCATACATATATTAGTATGTTGATGATGAGTGTCAACGAGAATGTAATCTTGGTTCATACATTTTTACCTATTAGTTCTAACCACCCAACGTCTAATGTAAGTCAAAACTGCATCAAGTCACTTTGAGTAATGATTATAATTCAATCTGTAGAATCCAATCAGTACTGAGGAATATGAAACGTGATGTTGATAGTCACTCAATGATTTACGAATGTAAAAGGCTCTATTGAATATTTTCAACTGCATAAGGAAAATATTTCAAAAGAATATATATTAGATACACAGTCATAATATATGACTTTCATGTGTATCTTCATTACCTATTGGCAGCTTTACAGAACTCACGTAAAGTGGTTCGGACTAAAGACAATTGACATAGTGCACTACTAAGCATAAAATTGATTTTCAGTCCATTTGTAATTGTCGTGCGTAAAAATTCACGGTATCGTACTAACTTATTACCTTACATTTTTTACTGGACAAACATTAATAAGTCAAAAAATGGAATACTTCTATCTATTCGTTCGCTTAAATGTAACACTATTTACACATATTCACAGTGACAAATTTCTTGGTTCATAACTAATCTTTACGGGTATCAACCAAGAATAAGGGAATAACTGATAAACTGGTTCAAGTAACCAGTTTATGAAATGATCTAACACAAAACTCAATGATTTCCATATTAACAATTTTATTACAGTACACTGTAATCATTTATCTGCATCAGTGTCATGATAGTTAACTTCACAGGTTACGATATTTCATCAAAAATTCAAAAAATAAAACAACTAGAAGATAACCACTAACAAACACTTGGTTTTTTCACAGTTACACAGTTGTCGATGTTTGTTTAACTTGACAGCTCTTTAATCTAACTATTTAAGAGTAATTATCAGTGTACACATGGAGGTCAAGCCTTTAAATCAACTTGCTTAAAAGAATGATGAAAGTCATTTTCAAACTGAACATACTTGAAATAATGATCTAACTATATAACTAAATTATTCAATTAGTTTAATATAAATTTTTATTTATTATTTTATATTATCAACATCAAATCCAATTGAATTATTCCTTTTTCATGGATGTACAAATAAGAAAAAAAAATTTTTTTTTCTTTTTGTTTCATAGCAATTTCTTACAGAATTTGAAGCACGTAAACCTCAAATAGAAAGAATACATTATGAAAAAGAACGTTTATTATCTTGGACAACAAAAAATCGTTCAGTTGAAGAATTAACAACACAAAGTATGTTATTGGTATTTGATAAATAAATTTTTTCACTTTATATTTGAATTAAATTTTTTCTTCGATAATACATTTTTTCTCTATTTCTGATCTGATATTTTCATAAAGAAACAAAACTAAGAAAAACAATTATGAATATGAATAACAATATAAATTATGAAATTAGTTTGTAATCATTGGATGCCGGCTCAGTTTTCCAGTAGGTTAAGCGTTCGCGCGCGAGACTGAGGGCTCTGGGCTCGAATCCCGCGAGCGGGATCGTGGATGCGCACTGCCGAGGAGTCCCACAATAGGACGAAATGGCCGTCCAGTGCTTTCGGGTTTTCAATGGTGGTCTAACGTCAACCGGTTCATGATCTCAATCATAAACTTAATAATCTCCACAACCCTAAACTGATTTGTATTATTGTTGGATTGTATTAAAAGTTTTTAGAATTATATTGATTAATAAATAATAATTTCAATGGTTAAGACCATGAGTAAATTGAAAGTAGACTACCATAGAAAACTTGAAAGCACTGGATGAACGTTTCAAAGTTTTCCACGGTTGTCTAGCTTCAATCGACTCATGATCTCAACTATTGAAATTGCTAGAATATCCACAAAACCCTTTCTAATAAATAATAGTTGAAACTTAGAGAACTACTTCTCGAAGCTAGTCATTAGTAGGTATATGATAATATTATATCGTGGATTGGTTAAAGTTAGACATAAATGCCATTAGATACCGACTCAGTAATCTGGATTTTAAGCGTCCACGAGTGAGATTTAGTGATCTTGGTTCAAGTCCTACGTGCGGGGTGGTGGATTTACACTTTTGAGAGGTCTCATCCTAGAACGAAACGGCTTTTCAGGACTTCCAGCTTTTGAATGGTGGTTTAGCTAAAATTCATCTGTTAAAATGCTACAGTCTCCAGAAATCCTCATGCTGTAATTTAATTAATGATTATAATCATTTTTATTGATTACATTAATCACAAATATTATTGATTTGTATGTATTTATGTTTTAATTAGAAGAGGTGAATCATGAACTATCATCCTATTTAAGTATCCCAATACACTTATGTGTATATAGGTAAATATAGTATACAACAAAATAATCATGAAATGCATCATTTCAGATCGTTATTTTGTTGGAAAAAGTTCAATCAAGTTTTTAAAAAAATCTTTTCATCATAATTATTTGTGCGAAACACAAGAAGGACACTTACAAGATACATAATTAAGGTTAATAGTTTTGAACAAGTCGAAAAAATCAAGTACGCTAATGTCAAGTGGTAATCACAAACACAAATATCCTAGAAAATACACTAAAATTACAAAGTTATTGATAAAACACTTAATATACAGTTTATTCTTTAAAAAATCTAATAGTTAGATTCATGAGTTAGTTAAAGCTAGACCACCATGGAAAACCTGGAAGCACTGGACGGCAGTTCCGTCCTAGTAGGAGTTGCATACTAGGATGAAACTGTCATCCAGTGCTTCCAAGTTGTGCATGGTGGTCTAGCTTTAATTAACCCATGAACTCAACTGTTAGATTACTACAATCTACACTAAACCCCTTTCTGATAAAAGACCGTTGAAATCTCATACCTTTCTTTTTCAAATTAATAAATACATTGATCTGTTTTTGATTAGTAATTATCAGTATGGGGTTGTTGAAATTGTTGAGTTTAGAATAATATCATGAATGGATCAATCTCAGACCACTATTGGAAACCTGGAAGCACTGCTGAGGAGTCCCACAATAGGACGAAATAGCTTCCAGGTTTTCAATGGTGGTCTAACATTAATCCATTCATTATATCGATTAGTAATCAATCTCATTTTTTTTAATTCTTTAGCTAAATATGAATTTTGTTATGGAAATATAATTGATCTATTCCTATTCAAATATATTTTCATTCTAAAATAGTATACTAATCGATACAAGTACATATTCTCTTTTATTTCTTTGACTTGAAAATATTGTTTCCTGAAAGATCTATTTATTGATTTGTATTTTGATCAAGAAATTAATAAAATTGATATTGAAAGATATTCTGCATAGTTCAACTAGATAAAATTAAGTCGAAATTCAAACAGAAATATCTTTGAACATTTAATTAATTCGAACATTGTTTTTATAGGTAACTGATATAAGTCGAAGAATTGTAAGGATCAGAGTTTATTGAGTACTTGTTTCATTAACAGTCCACAATTGAAATACTAAATACAATGGATTTTAAGTCCTTTAAGTTTCATAGTAGTTACAACATCACTTAACAATTAAGCTGCACTTTAACCGGTTACATTCTCCAAATATATTTATAAACTGGTAAATATACGTTAACCAGTAAATAGATTGTTTTAATTATCTTACCAATAGTACAATTAAAGAGAACTTTATTCTTGTGGGCTCTTCTTTCCAGTTTTTGTTAAATACTATTCATTCTTTTGATGTATGGCTCTAGTTCCTGGAGGAATATGTTCTTTGGTTTGTCACTTTTCCTTATGCCTTGAGGATTTCAAGTTAGGGCTTACTTTGTGGTGCGATTTGACGATTTCTGCTATATGTGTCCTATTCATCTCCAGCACCTTTTTTTAATTTTATCTTCAGCTGAAAATTGGTTTGTTCTCTGTCAAGGTAGACGGTTTCTGGTGGTTTCCATCAGCCGGTTTTGAAGTATCTTGTGTAGACAATTTTTTATAAAAACCTGTACATTTTTAATGATGGTTGTTTTAAATCTCATATATGTGCTGACGTAGTATTATACCTTCAAACTTACGAATTTTATCATCAAAGAAATAACTCAGTCAAAATACTCACACAATCCCTAAACAAAATAAAAATCAAAACAGACTCACTATTCCTAAACAATTTTTTTATGATACGTTCGTAAATTAAACTATTCATTCAGTAAATTGAAAATGAAGTGGTACGAAGACTATGCGTGTGTCTCTTCAAATTGTCACACTGTACACATCATCATACGGAAAGAAATAATCAGTGATGAAAATCAAATACTTTGAAATGAAAATCAAAATTTAAGATATAATCATAAAGAACTAAAAAAAAGTGCCGTCTTTGGGGGATTTTAGTCTTCTGAGCTAAGCGATTTAACCAGAATGTCACCAAACTCCTTATCCTACTGTACGAATCTTACCCACTCTTTCAAGAAAAACAGGATGTAACAGTCATAGACGAATTTTTTATAAGCTAGTGAAGGAATAAGTTTAGTGACTTCATCGTATCAGATTCTAATTCATATCATTTAACGTGTCTAACTAACTATAAGCAATATAATAATAAGAAATGATTCCCACTGAAATGTAATCTGTTATAACAAACAAAAAGTTCTTATATAAAATAGATGGAGTAATACTAGCAGTGGAATGGAAGGCGTTTGTTTCGTCCTATTTCCAATTCATTAGACGCATGTACCTACATACCAGATTTGATATTCATTCTAGTGTTCTAACCCAGTAGTCTTCGTTTTCAACACCAGCGTATTATTCACTTAATGAATAAGTTAAAATAGTCACCAACTTGTTCAACAGGTATGAAGTTTTATTTAATTTGTAATGGTATGATTTGTCCTTTTGTTAAGTGACATTTGATAAACCAAAGTATTATTTCACTCTATATAACTTAGTTATCTATTATTTTATCGTCTTTCTAAAATATTTTTTTATTGATTAATGTTACATATTTCATCTGTATCTATATGGAAATTCATAGTTTTAATTGACTTTCTACAATTTCAATGATTGTTTTTTTTGTGAATCAGGGAAAATTAGATTTATATCTTGTTTACTGTTATTATGATTCAAAATATATAAGTTTAAGAATTCCAAAAAATCTATTGTCTTCTTATTTCATAATCAGTAGAAATCTGGAAATCAGTTCTTTCTAAAAAGAAATATGATAATATATCTATGCATATGTAATATTCCTAAACTTGTTGACTAAGCAAGTCAATAATTGATACCATACATTGTATGGTATTTTATCTTCAGTGGTCCTGAGTGCTGTTGGAAGTATGAGGGTGGTTATTACTTCCCAGTTGCCTAAACCGTGGAAGGGCTCTTTAGGAGGTACCTGGAAAGGAAATTGGATTAAAGGTGGTCTTAGAGACCCGAGAGCTGCCTTGACGTGGCGGTCAAGCTTGCCTATCGTGATGAACCAGTTGAGCTATACTGGCTGCAACAATCGTTCCTCAAGGTAGGTCGATTGGAGAGCAGTAAGATTAAAAGCAGCAAACCCAGGGTCTGAAAGGAAAGTCGTACTGCCTACTGTACAGAGATGTGACAGTAGTAAAGTATTTCCTTCAGACAACCAGCATAACAGCGATGCTGCCTTCCCACAAGGAGGAGTGTTGTTAGAAAAGGTCGACCCTAAAAATGCACGGATATCTGTCTCTGGCAGTAAGGTCTCAACAAGTACGGAGCTAACACGGAGATTACTCACAGAAATTCGTGTGTGACCGACCTCAAGCAGTTGTCCCTTGGGCACCGTGGTCACGCTCTCAGGTCTCTATGACCACCTTTAATCCGATTTCCTTTTCAGGTACCTCCAGAAGAACCCTTCCATGGTATGTGCAACCAGGAAGTGATAAGCAACGGAAATGGTTGGAGACTCTAGGTGGCATGCCTCAGAATCGATCACAATTGCGTCGCTGTGTACACTCTGTCTTCCGTTAAACTATGAGATTAAAATCACTTCATATCTTTCTTTTTACGAACTAAAGTCCTTATACACAATCTTTCTTTATATATTACCACCACTGAATTAATTACTTCTATGAATCAAATGTTCATCTAGTTGTCTTAATGAGGTATGGCAACTTGGATCAATGCTTGTATGTGCCTGGTCCTGCGTTGTAGCTGACTGACTTAGTGCTTCCAGGTTTTCCATGGTGGTCTAACTTTAATGGACTCATGATCTCAACTATTGAAATCTTATTTTTCTTTAGTATAAATTTAATTTTAAATAGAAATTGAGAATAAACATAT